TAAAGCATATGCTCTTATCACTGACATAAATCTCTAGTCACAATAATAAATAACTTTTTAGAATAAATATATCCAAAATATTGTGTAAACTATGCTTTAATTGAAAAACATTGTTTAATCTGAAAATTTAAATTTAACGGGCCATCTTACATTTTTATTTGCTAAAACCTAGGGTTCAAACTTTTGAAAGGAAATGGGAGTGCTTTGGGAGCATTGTGATGGGTAAACCCATCTTTAGAAAAGATAGAGGGCCATCAGTATAAAAACATAAACTGATTCCAAATTACACTCATCAATGATCTCAAACTAGTGTCATTGAAATAAAAGTTCAAAACCAGTGTTTTATGAATTAAATCTTCAATTTTGTTTCATTTCATACTAAGTTTCCAAGAAATCCCAAAAGAAGGCCTGAAAGTTAGAGTAAGGATTAAGGAGCTTGCAGATGCCAGTTCAATCTTCTGTACTACATGATACCACTAGAAGTAGCCCCCAGCACACCCGTTGTGGCTCCAAATCTCACTGCCTCCCCCCTCCCCAAAAAAGGAAAAAGTGGATTTTCTTGATTGCTGTGGTGAATTGCCTTGATCAGCCACTTCTGCTGTTTTTGTTTTGAGACCATACTCACTGGTGCTCAGGAATTTTTTCTGGCTTGGTGTTTGCTCCTGGTGTGGCTTAGGGCGCCTCACAGTGTGAGGTACTGAAGTCCCGTGAGCTGTCTCCCCAGTGCCTAGCTCAGTCCCTTGATACCCAGCACTGTCTAAGACTTCTTATAAGGTTAGTGTGTGTGTGTGTGTGTGTGTGTGTGCGCGCGTGTGCGCGCACGCACACTTGCAAACTGAGAGAATTCCTCATACTCAGATGCTCATGCTTATATATTCATACAAAAAAAATCTCGGAAAATAAATATACTGGTGAGACTGCTGTGAGTAAAGAGAGGCATGGGCAACGGATAGAAAAAAAGATTTTTTTCATTATCCATTTTATATTTTAAGTATTTTAAAAGTATGGACTTATTATAGCTGTGAGTTCAAAAAATATGTGAGTTCACTATGTGAGACATGTGTTCAGTGGCCTGGCCACTTTCTGTCCTCCCCAGGCCTCCCCAGCAGAGAAGAGAGATGGGGGACCACAGCCTGATGGTGAAAATGGCCCATGTAATGCAGAGCTGCTAGCATAAAATTGTAGAACATCTGAAGGGGTCAGAGGTATAGGACTGCATGTCCGTGTCATTTGCAGAAGTAAAACATTCTAGCAGAGGCAATTCTCCGGGGAGATATAAACTCAAGGAGACGCTTTGTCTCCCAGGTGTATCTATATTGCTTTTCTCTTTCCCTCTAGATATATGTATATCTATCAAACAGCTAAGTCAAACAATTAATTCTGCTTCTTACCAATACTTGCAGTTGTTTGGATAAACACAGTAAGAGAAAAAGATCCCAAAACTGAGTTCTCTGGGCTGAGAGCAAGCAAGTCTTTTACTGTAAATCCCAGACTAGGTCCTCGGGCCATTTCAGCTTGTCCTTCCCCATGGGGTTCCTGACTCTTAAGTCATAACAGCTTGCGCCAAGACCGTGCATTCATGCTTTCTAGACTGTCCCATTTGGATGCTGGAGCAGCTTTGCCACTCACCCTAGGTCCATCCCAGTCCCACAGCAGGACCTCCATTTTGGGGTGTTAGGAACTGCAGCAACTGAAGCCTGAGTTAAGTAATGATGATGGATACCCAGGAGTAGGTATATTTCAGTCAGTCACCTCCCAGATATTAGGTGCACAGCTTTAACTGTTTTCTGTGTTTAAGCAAAGAACAACATTGCTCTATAGTAAAATATGAAAAGACTGTAGAGGGAATAGAAAAGCAAGTAATTCACTACAAATACAAAATCCAGAATTACCAGAAATTTTTGGCTTCTAAGTAACCAAGATTGACTTGGGGAACTGTGACAATGAGAGGTAAAACACAAAGGAAAGGTTAAAGATAAACTCAGAGGATTGGGGATGGTAGCAAGAGCACTGTAAGCTTCTCTGGGAGGAGGAAAAAGTGCAGTTCACTGATGAAGCTGAAAGCATTTAGGGTTAATAAATATCCAACAAATATCCTTTGAAATAGACTTTTCAAGAGCAGGAATATGCTATAAGGTGTGTTATATAGAAAATGACTAAGCGGTAGCATAATTCAACAGAAGGGAATGACAGTGAATGAAAACAGGAACTTGTTCATCTTGTTCACTGCTATATCCCAACACCCTGAATAGTTTCTGGCAGATGCTGGCCACTCAAAAAGTATTTATTAATGGAGTTAAGGACTTGCTCAACCACACAGTGATTAACCACAGAAAGAAATGGCTTCTTCTTCTGCACCTCCAAAGAAACAGTGACCAAAATACAAAGACAGTCTACAGAATGGGAAAGGATATTCGCCGAACACACATCTGACAAGGGGTTGATATCAAGGATATACAAAGTACTGGTTGAACTCCACAAGAAGAAAACGTCCAACCCCATCAAAAAATGGGGCAATGAAATGAACAGAAACTTTCTCAAAGAAGAAATCCAAATGGCAAAGAAGCACATGAGAAAATGCTCTACATCATTAATCATCAGGGAGATGCAGATCAAAACCACAATGAGATACCATCTCACACCTCAGAGACTGGCCTATATCCAAAAGAACAAAACCAACCGATACTGGTGCGGATGTGGCGAGAAAGGGACACTCTTTCACTGTTGGTGGGAATGTCGACTGGTTCAGCCTTTTTGGAAAACAGTATGGACGATTCTCAAAAAATTAGAAATTGAGCTCCCATTTGACCCAGCAATACCACTCCTGGGAATATATCCCAGAGAGGCGAAAATGTATAGTCGAAGTGATATCTGCACTTGTTTGTTCATTGCAGCACTCTTTACAATAGCCAGAAACTGGAAGAAACCTGAATGCCCAAGAACAGATGACTGGTTAAAGAAACTTCGGTACATCTACACAATGGAGTACTATGTAGCTGTTAGAAAAGATGAAGTCATGAAATTTACATACAAGTGGTACAATATGGAAAGTATCATGCTAAGCGAAATGAGTCAGAAAGAGAGGGATAGACATAGAAAGATTGCATTCATCTGGGGGATGTAAAGTAACAAAATATGAGATTAATACCCAAGAATAGCTGAGATCAGCACCAGGAGGATTACTCCATAACTTAGAGGCCAGCCGGGTATCCTAGAGGAAAGGGCAGTTCAGATAGAGAAGGGAGCACCAAATAAAGGATGTTTGGAGGATCCTCCCAGGAGGGGAGATGCATGTCGAAAGTAGACTATGGACTGAACATGTTTGCCACTCAATGCCTCTTTTGCAGACCACAACACCCAAAAGGAGAGAGAGAACACGGGATTGCCCTGCCACAGAGACGGGGGGATGGGGGGATGGGGGTGGGAGGGATATTATCCATGGTGGTGGAAAATGGGCACTGGTGGAGGGATGGGTATCTGATCATTGTATAATTGAAACCAAAGCACAAAAATTTGTAAATCTACAACTTTAAAAAAATAAAATAAAATAAAGGGGAAAAAAAAGAAACTTTGGTACATCTACACAATGGAGTACTATGTAGCTGTTAGAAAAGATGAAGTCATGAAATTTATATACAAGTGGTACAACATGGAAAGTATCATGCTAAGCGAAATGAGTCAGAAAGAGAGGGATAGACATAGAAAGATTGCATTCATCTGGGGGATATAAAGTAACAAAATATGAGATTAATACCCAAGAATAGCTGAGGTCAACACCAGGAGGATTACTCCATAGCTTAGAGGCCAGCCGGGCATTCTAGGGGAAAGGGCAGCTCAGATAGAGAAGGGAGCACCAAATAAAGGGTGTTTCGAGGATCCTCCCAGGAGGGGAGATGCATGTTGAAAGTAGACTATGGACTGAACATGTTTGCCACTCAAAGCCTCTTTTGCAGACCACAGCACCCAAAAGGAGAGAGAGAACACAGGGGATTGCCCTGCCACAGAGGCAGGGTGAGATGGGAGGGATGGGGGTGGGAGGGATATTATCCATGATGGTGGAAAATGGGCACTGGTGGAGGGATGGGTATTTGATCATTGTATAATCAAAACCCAAGCACAAAAAAAAAAATTGTAAATCTACAACTGTACCTCATGGTGTTTCACTAAAAATAAAAAAAAAGAAATGGCTTCTTAAATTCTGAGTATATTAGTTAGAAACAGTTAACATTCTCCATGCATGCTATTTGAAGGTATGCTCCATGGTCATTCACAAAGAATGAAACCATGGGAGTGAATGAAACTGGGGGAGAAGGTAGGAACTGTTCGCCTGTGTAGTCATCATAGAGAAATGTACACAAACATAGATAAACATAGATAAACTGAGGCATGACTGATTCTGGGGATCATGTGCCCAAATAATCGCAGCATGAGAGCTTCAGGGAGGACAGAGGGCCATCAGTATAAAAGTCTTTAACAGATAACTCTGTGGGTCTTCAAAGTACAGGACTTAGAGCATTCATCTTTCTGTTGGGTCTTGGGGAAGGGTGCCTTCTCTGCAAAACAGATCTCATGGTACTTGGAGGCTGCCCACAAAACCAGGCTTACATGGACAAGGATGCTTTTCACTCCATCTTATTTCTCTGTTGTCACTCCTGGTCAGGGCTGAATAATGATCACTAGAAGACTGGTTGGGTTGGAGTGATAGCACAAGCAGTAGGTCGTTTGCCTTGCATGTAGCCAGCCCGGCTGAGCCGGGTTTGATTCGTCCACCCCTCTCGGAGAGCCCAGCAAGCTACCAAGAGTATCTCGCCCACACGGCAAAGCCTGGCAAGCTATCTGTGATGTATTCGATATGCCAAACGCAGTAACAAGTCTCAAAATGGAGATGTTACTGGGCCCGCTCGAGCAAATCGATGAACAACGGGAGGACAGTGTTTGTTTGACAGAAGACTGGTTGTTTGAGGGGCCAAACCCACCCTCTGTTTCTTGTCTCTTTTCAGAATGCTGTTTCTAAGTATGGTTCCCAGTTCCAAGGCAATTACCAGCATGATGCCCTGGAATTCTTGCTCTGGTTACTGGATCGTGTGCATAAGGACTTGGAAAACTCACCACAAGGGCCAAGGACCCAGAAGGTATTGGATGTTTTTTGGTTGTTTTTCCTTAAATATTTCCTTCACTCCTTAAAAGTCAATCTTGAAATTTAGATTCTAAAATTTCCGTGACTTCTGCATATAGTGATATTCCTTCTCTTACCTTGTTTTCTCCCCCTGTTTGTTTTAGACAAGGTTTTTTTGTTTTTGTTTTTTGTTTTTTTGTTTTTGGGTCACACCAACCTTGTTTTCAGGTTGAGAAGGTGCATGCATTTTAAAGGACAAGCAGAAGAACAAGATTTGGAACCCTGAGAAGGAGATAGCTTTGGAGTAGGGGTGTCGCAGTAGCAGAAACTTTTTAGTTCTCTCTCCTTGACTCTATCCTAGTGCTGATGATAGTTACTCTGCTTGCGACACAGATTCAAGGCAGGAATATTTTACTTTTGCTCAGATCATGTGATTGTTTCTTGTTTAAGGGAGACAAGATGACTAAAGTGCCTTCCTCTCCTCCCACTAGCTTGGATTCAATGTTCCAAAATAAGTGCTTGTTTCTACCAAAAAGAGAAATGAATCCTGGACCAAAAAAAAATAATGCTAGCATTTTGATAATCTCAAATTTTGCAGTCCAGGCCCAAGGGTTCATCACAAGTGTGAGTGGGGAGGATGTAGGGGGAATAAAAATGTAGGCTAGAAGTGACAGATGAACATTGGTGGAGGGTATTGGGCACTTTGGTGGTGATGGTAACTGTATCAAAGACCATCAATGTTAATATTACCGTAGGCATGTCATTTTAACTACAATAACAAAAAAGTATTTTAAGAAAATATTAGTGTCTATTGTGTATCCTGGCAGACTCCTCCCCAAGAGCCCTACATATTTTCCCTGTTACACAAACCTGCCTGGGGTATGAATCACCCTTCCCGGACCCATTTCCTTCAGCTTTACTGGAACTAGCTGCTCCTGTAACTTAGAAGTATAGACTTAGTCCTGTTCATCTCCTCCTTTTGTCTCTCTGTTTTCTGTATTCATCTATCCGTTTTTTCTATTGGGTTCTCTCTCTTTTTTTCCCCATTTTGTTGATTCAGAATGAAGTTGCAGGAATTGATACACTTAACTGCAAACATTTCGTATACGTTTCTTTGTCTTGGATATGTCCTCCCCTTAATAAAATCTTTAACACACCCAGACATTACCCAAGGTCTTCACCTATGCCTTGCTTCTCTGACACAATGCCTTATTTTTCATTTCTGGAGCTTATGTTCTTTATTTTTTTCCCTTTTTGGGTCATACCCGGAGATACACAGGGGTTACTTCTGGTTCTACACTCAGAAATTACTCCTGGCAGTGCTTGGGGGACCATATCGGATGCTGGGAATTGAACCCAGGTTGGCCGCGTGCAAGGCAAACACCCTACCTGCTGTACTATCGCTCCAGCCCCTAGAGCTTATGTTCTTGATTGAAACATTATTGCCTTCAAGTAACCCCCAAATTGGTTTTTGAAGTTAAACTCTTTCACTCTCTTTATAAGACAAATATATTCACATAGTATATTAATTGATAGTAAATCTGGTATAGCAATATTTCATGACAAAATTAAAAAATAGTCTAAAAAAACTCCTTGAGGAAGTGATAATACATTTTTTAAAAAAATGTTTTAGGGAATTTTATATTCTATTGAATAATTTTACAAATGACTTAGATGCAAGAAATACAGGGATTTTTGCATGGCAGGATCAAACAATTAAGTCAAATGTGTGTTAGAAGGAAGGGAATGCAGGATGAAAATAAAGGAAAGTGACAGAACTGATTGAGAAAACTGAATAATTCATTGAAAGTGGTAGGAGTCTAGACGGTTGGTAGCATTGGGATAAGCAGGAGTCCCAGCTGAGATAGCCCCCAAAGATATCAGGTCCTGGTGTGTGTGTGTGTGTGTGTGTGTGTGTGTGTGTGTGTGTGTGTGTACTGTATATATATAATACACTGTAGCTGGGGGCTGGAGCGAAAGCACAGCAGTAGGGTGTTTGCCTTGTGCGCAGCCAGACTGGCCAAGCCCGGTTCGATTTCTCCACCCTCTTGGAGAGCCCGGCAAGCTACCGAGAGTATCTCGCCTGCACAACAAAGCCTGGCAAGCTCCCCGTGACATATTTGATATGCCAAACACAGTAACAACAAGTCTCATAATGGAGACATTACTGGGTCCACTCGAGCAAATCGATGAACAACGGGAGGACGGTGATACTGTAGCTGTTACCATATTTATAGAGTTTTGGAGTGTGTGATAAAGTTAAGGATCTTGAAATCAGTATCTAATCCAGATGGATATTAGATGCAATTACAGTATCCTTATAAGAAAGTAGAAATAATTAGAGATATAGAACATGTAGATGGAGAGATTTGGAGACACTGGTCTTAGAGACTGGAGTAATGGAGCTGTAAACCGCCTTGAATTCATACATCCAACAGAAATTTGAAGTGGCGAGGAAGAGACTGTCTTGTACAGTTTCTGGAGAGAGAGTATATTTGATGACACCTTGATTTTAGCCCCTACAATATAGATTTTGAATGTCTGTTCTCAAGAACTGTGATAAATATATTGCTGTTATTTTAAGACACCCATGTGTGTGATCTAGTTGTTTAGTTCTTGCTCTTGGAGAACCCAGCAGGCTACCAAGAGTATCTTGCCTGCATGGCAGTCTGGCAAGCTCCCTGTGGTGTATTTGATATGCCAAAACCCAATAATAATGATGGTCTCATTCCCCTGACCCTGAAAGAACCTCCAATGTGGCACTTGCTAAAATCTCAGGGCTAGGCCAAATGGAGACGTTACTACTGCCTGCTCGAGGAAATCGATGAATGGTGGGATAATAGTGATACAGTGATGTGTGTGATCAGCTACAACAGTCACAGGAAACAAAAGGATACACTGTGACTGACATATGAAGTGAAGAGACGCTTCTGAGAATTGTGCTTGAGTGAAGATCATCTCACTGGAAAATATGAATAGGAATGGTTAGCAGTATATGATGGGGCTATTGGCATAGGCGTTTTTGAACTGGCAGCTCAATCTAATGCAGAGTGTTTGGACACGTGATACCCAAGAAGATGGAGAAAAGAATGGAGTAATAGATGTAAAGATACAGTTAAGGCTGGGTAAATGTGTCTGAGTGTTCAAGGTTCATGCTTCAGTTTTCCATCACCATCCTCTCTCTTAAGGGGAATTTCAGAAGTTAAGGAATTGAAGGGCTGGAGCGATAGCACAGCGGGTAGGGCGTTCGCCTTACAAGCGGCCAACATGGCCGACCCGAGTTCCATTCCTCCGCCCCTCTCGGAGAGCCCGGCAAGCTACCAAGAGTATTCGGTATGCCAGACACAGTAACAACAAAGTCTCCAATGGAGACGTAACTGGGCCCGCTCAAGCAAATCGACGATCAACGGGAGGGCCTTTATTATTATTTATTAAGGAATTGAAGGAGGAGGGGATTATGTAGTTTTCAGGTTCTGTAGAAATAGGCCCAGAAAAATATATGAGCTAGAAGGAAGCCTTCCGAAACTCCCTGATCTGGAATCTGTAAAATGACAGAAGATTTATGATAATTTTTCTTTGTTTTATTTGTTGCAGCTTCATCGCAAAGCTAGTAAAACTTCTGAGAACTGTGTGTCACCATCTACTCAGCTTTCTTTAGGCCAAAGCTTTGTACAAAGCCACTTTCAAGCACAATATAGGTAAGAATATTGGTAAGATGTGGATGTGTTTAGAATGTATTGACTAGGGTTCAGCAAGCTTGCATGCAGGTTACCAGTCTTCTATTACCAGTTTTGGCCTGAGATTACAAAACAACAGAACTGCAATCTTCCTTTATTCATTAAAATTCCAATTAACAACTCATTACTTATCTGATCTGTAATTTTTTGCTTTTCTATTTACCTAGTTCTGGGTCTTCTATCTTCCTCTGAAGGAGGAGTTAAAGTGAGGACAGTTTTTATGGTGGTGGGAATTGAACCCAGGTCTTATTCATGCAAGGTATGTACTTTACTGCCGACCCTCCTCCCCTCCCCCATTCCCTTTCTCTGCAGTCAAGGAGCCCAGTTTATTTATGTACTTATTTCTATTTATTTTTATTGTGATGAGAATTGAATCCAAGACCTCATACATATATGGCAAGTGCTCTACCACAGAAACACATTTATGCCTCCTACGGAATTGTTTTAACATTATTTTGCATATATATCACATATATAATACATATAGGATATACATACATATGTAATATATATATATACAAGGTCACATTATATGTCCTTATGTGTCCTTATATAAGGATATATATCACATAATATAAATTACACATAAATAATCCATTATATATAACATATAATATTGTAATAATGTAATATATATTACATGTAATCACATGAAAGTATACATACCTTTCCACCCTTTCTTTCGGGAGAGAGGTGTTTGCCACGTACAGCAGTGTTCAGGGATCACTTCTGTCAGTTCTTGGGAAGGACTCTGTATCGCTAGTGATCAAAACAGGTTTGCCAGATAAAAGGCAACTTAAACTCTGTACTCTCTCTAAGGTCCTCTTTTGGCTTTTATATGTTTCAGGAATCAGATCAGGGCCAGTAGCATGCAAGGCAAACACCTTCTCTACCCCTGTACAATCTCTCTGTCCTACCGTGGGAGCTTTTAAAATCTAATCTCCTCCTCTGCCCACTCTTTTTAAACCCTTCTCCTTTCCTCTAGGAGTCTGGTCTATTTAATTTTGCTTTTTTAAAAAAAATAAAAGCTTTTCATGTGATTTTTAGGGCACAGAGCGACTGAGTGAAAGGGTCATAGACAGTCCTGAGGGCCATAAGTAGTCCAACTTGTATGTTGGTATACTGTGTTTCTATTCAGAGGGACTAATAGCTGTGATTAAGCAACTTTTCTTATTTAAAAGAAGTTGAAGTGAAAGTTATATAGCATATAATTAATTATTTTAAAGTGTAGGATCCAGTAGCATGTATATTCTCAACTTTGTGCAGTTACATCTCTGGGTAATTTGGAACATTTCATTAGCCCAAAAGCACTAGTACCGTCCAGCACCTAGAAGCAACCATTGCTTTCTGTTTCTAAGGCCTTTTTGATTCTGGAAGTTTCATAGAAGTGGAATGAAATCATATTCAATCATATAGATGAAATCATAAAGTGATTTCTTTCACTTAGCATGTTTAGAAGGGTCATCCACATATCTTGTGTAAGGACTTCATTCTTTATAAACTAAATATAATTCATTGTATAACTCTAATGACAAGTGCATATTTAGGTTTCTTGTTTTGGGGGCCACACCTAGTGGTCCTCAGGGCTTATCCTAGCCATGCACTCAGGGGTTACTCCTGGTGGTACTTGGGGGACCATATGGGGTGCCAGGGATTGAGTCTGAATCACCTGTATGCAAGGCAAGTACCTTACCTCTTCTACTATCACTCCAACCTTTTTGAATTTTTGACTTTTTGAGGAGGGGCTGGCTCAGGCCCAGGGACATAACACACCGCCAGGCCCCCTCTCGGCTCAGGCTGTGACCCTACCGCCTGGGGCAGGGCATGGACGCCAGTGGGCTCTGGCCTGGCCGGGCCGGGCTGGGCTGGGGCGTGAGGGCACGGGGGGCTGGAGCGATAGCACAGCGGGTAGGGCGTTCGCCTTACACACGGCCAACATGGCCGACCCGAGTTCGATTCCTCCACCCCTCTCGGAGAACCCGGCAAGCTGCCGAGAGTATTCGATATGCCAGACACAGTAACAACAAAGTCTCCAATGGAGACGTTACTGGGCCCGCTCGAGCAAATCGACGATCAACGGGAGGGACTTTTTGAGGAACTTTCTCACTTTTTGAGGAACCGCCAAGATACCGCATTGTTTAATCCACTGATCCACTGAGGAATATTTTTCACCCCTTAGCTATTGTGAATAATATTCCTGTTAACATTTTTTGTTTACATATTTATTCTGAGAACCTGTTTCAGTTTTCTTTTTTATGCTCAACGTGGTTCTTATTTTAAAAAATTTATTATGGTTCAGGTAATAGGTTTATGCTAATGTTTTAAGTTTATAGTTTTTGCATATATACAGGATATACAGGAATGGGATTGTAGTAAGTCTGTATATAATATCTTCAGGAAGTGGTGCATGGTCAAAATCACTTGGCATTTGTCCTTGTCCTCACAGATCTTCCTTGACCTGTCCCCACTGCTTGAAGCAGAGCAACACCTTTGATCCTTTCTTGTGTGTGTCACTCCCCATCCCCCTGCGCCAGACGAGGTAAGCGAATGTCATGTCTAGTTAACTCATTGGGAAACTTCTGGCATTGCATCTTCAACTTTCTCTCATTTCTCACCCAGCATTTCTCTATAATTCAATTAATGGCTGGATGTTTTCCCATTATTAATGTGTAAAGATAAAAGTTTGCTGTGTCCCTTCTTTAGATGAAAAAGAAATTACAAACTATGTGTTTTAGTAATTCAACACAATTGCTGGATTTAGGACTTTCTCCCATTCAGAAGCTGGTAGGGTTCTGTCTTGATACTCAGTAGGACAAGAAGGGACAAACATAAAAAACAAAATTGAATAAAACCTATTGCTACATAAATAATAAATATATCTATTGCTAAAATAAATTTATTGCTAAAAAAATAAAAGTTGCTTTTCACAGCTTTATTTCCAATTAAAAATTTTCCTTTGAGCTCGATGCCTCTTTTGCAGGCCACAGCACCCAAAAGGAGAGAGAGAACAAAAGGGAATGCCCTGCCACAGAGGCAGGGTGGGATGTGGGGGATGAGAGGGGTGGGAGGGATACTGAGATTAGTGGAGGTGGAGAATGGGCACTGGTGGAGGGATGGGCACTCGATAATTGTACAACGGAAACCCAAGCACAAAAATTTGTAAGTCTACAACTGTACCTCATGGTGTTTCACTAATAAAATATATATATGTATATATATATCTGTATATCTGAATGTGTTTCAAGATGTGTATCAATTTTTGTAATATTCTTTTTTCCTGTGAGACTAGTTAATATTATGTAACTTACTTTTAATAAAATTATATCAATCTCAAAAAAAAATTTTCCTTAAAGGGGCTGGAGCAATAATAGCACAGCGGGTAGGGCATTTGCCTTGCACGTGGCTGACCCGAGTTCGATTCCCAGCATCCCATAGGGTACCTCGAACACCACCAGGAGTAATTCCTGAGTGCAGAGCCAGAAGTAACCCCTGTGCTTGACCGGGTGTGACCCAAAAAGAAAAAAATATTTTTCCTTAAAGAGGATCTCTGACAACTGGGAGCCATCTGGTGACAATGAGCCTCAAGTACTTGCCAAGCAGACCACAAATGAAAATCCTATAATTGGAGACCATAGTGTGAGACTAGGAGCCAACCAGTAGGAAGTGGCCCTACTGGAAGGAAACAGAAGAGGACAACAGAAAAAATGTGGAGACAGTCTAGAAAAGAGATTTTTTTAAAGAGCAAAGATAAAAGGAAAGCTTTGTTGAAGATGAGAAGAGAATAAAGAGGTGGTTTAGATAGGGTTGGGTAGCAGAGCTGGACTCTACTGAACGACCTGGTACAAGTTTCTTAGAAACTCAGATCTTAATAGTGACTACGAAGGAAGTCACTTTGCCAGAGTCAGTGCCATGAAATTTTAGTCAATCCCTTCAATAACATTGGATGAATGTATTTCTTTGTTGTATTCTCCACTGTCTTAAGGATCATTGATCCTGCTCTCTACCTGTTGACATCCTTCATCTTTAGAATATCCCTCAATCCTTGCCTTACTTGTCAATTAAATCCCTCTTTCTACTCTGAATTGTACTACTTATTATCTTTGCCACAAGTATAATGTTAACTTGTTCTATTAACTGTGACACCATTAGGTTATGTCTGTTAATAGATGTGAGCTAAGGCCACTGGCTTCATGCAACATAGTATAGTGGTTAGAACCATTGATTTTAATTTTTAATTTTTTGTTTTTTTGGTTACACTGGCTATATGTTTAGGGCTTACTTCTGGCTCTGTGTTCCGGGGTCACTCATAGCAGGACCCAGGGGACCATATCTAGTTCTGGGAATTGAACCCAGATTTGTTGCCTGTAAGACAAGCTCCTTACCTGCTGTACTAGCACTCCAGTCCAGTTGTCAAGCCATATCGTCCTGTTTCTAGCACCATCTTTTAAAATAGCTATGTGGATTTGGATAATTAATATTGCAGCATGTTATAGGAGCTGAAAAAATTGATGCTAATGAGCATGGTTGGAAGGAGAATCAGAGAACATAGCCACAGAGGTTGGAAGACAGAAAATCTGTGTCCCAATAATGGAAAAATTTCATTAAGAACATTATTGATAGTGTTGAACTCTACAGAAGGACCAAGACCTCTACTATTATCAAACTTAAAAGTTTGTGTGCCCCCTGCCCCGCTAGATGATCTGTTTGATAATATCCCTGTGTTCATAGATCAATGTGCTCATTCTTAATCAAATAGGTTTTTTTTTTTTTGCTCTTTGGGTCACACCCGGCATTGCACAGGGGTTACTCCTGGCTCATGCACTCAGGAATTACTCCTGGTGGTGCACGGGGGACCATATGGGATGCTGGGAATCAAACCTGGGTCAGCTGCGTGCAAGGCAGACGCCCTATCCATTGTGCTATCATTCTAGCCCCATAGTTTTTATTATTAACTCTGGAAAAGCATTTATGAGAGACTTTTGGAGATTTGACTCTCCACCTGCCACCCTGGTGACAGTGTATTTTAAAGTATAGTAATTTACCAGTTTGCGGAGATTATTTCAAAGGTTGAACGTAACTCAAGTGTCAATGGCATTGGACAGTTCATGTTGGTTCTTTAAGGATTTGGCCTCCTTATTTTCCAGATTCTTGAGTATCACCTTGGTGTTTCCTTCTAAGAGCCAGAAGTTCCTGCGGGTTGGCCTGGCTGTGCCCATCCTCAGCACAGTGGCGGCCTTGAGGAGGATGGTCGCAGAGGAAGGCGGAGTCCCTGCTCATGAGGTGTGATGTCGGGGTTGCACTCTTCACTGGGTGACAGCAGCTCACAGAGCCAGGTTCTCTGGGCTGTTCAAGCATTCTGCTTTCCAGGTGGCTCTAGCATGACTCACAAGTTTCTACTTGATTAATGATTCCTGGTGTCTCTGACGACTTTCACTGCATCACAGTAACCAAAAGGGATGTCACCATTGTTTTTTAAGAGGAGAGTAATTATAATTGCAATAATTCTAACAAAAGCTACCCTTCAGTAGTGCTTTCCAAGTGTGGGCACCAATCTATAAACTATATATTCATAGCCAACTTAATCCTTATAACCATTCTATGAAATAGACATTATAGTTATTTTACCAACAGAGAATGGTAACTGAAAGGCTAAATAACTTGCCCAAGCTCACAAAGCTGTTAAGTTGAATCAGGATTTGACTCAGGTAATTTAACATCCAAAGCCTGAGTCACTGCTTTTATTTTCACTCCTGGGAAGATAATCCAAAACTGAATGGATATGAGGATCTACTGAGAGAACCCCCGCACGGCAGAGCATGGCAAGCTCCCTGTGGCATATTCGATATGCTGAAAACAGTAACAACAGGTCTCACAATGGAGATGTTACTGGTGCCCGCTCGAGCAAATCGATGAACAGCCCGAGGACAGTGCAGTGCTACTGAGAGAACTGAAAATATATAGCATGAAAAAGGAGATTTAGGGGAGAGATGACTATTCTACTTTATTCTTCACCCACCCTTTTAAAAAAGTGGTCTTGGTAAAGAGATTGCATTCACTGTGATTTGGGGGTAATAGTTAGAAGCAGTGGACCCCACAAAAGGGCAAGGTACAGGTGATGGTGAAAAGCAATATGGCTTGGAATAGGCTTTTTATTTTCTGACCTTGGTTCTAGTTTTCTAACTGACTAATTCTTTGCAGTCCTTTAACTGTAAAATGGAGACTTTTTGCTCCTTTATGATCATAAGGGATTTTTTTCAAATTTAGAAATACTTTGATCTTTTTGTTCAGAAGTAACAGATACAAAATAAAGTGTACACATCTTATTGCTTTATTTTGTTGAATTTTCACATGATTTCAGGAGGCTTTTATTGCCTCCTGGCCTCCTTTCTACCCAACTCTAATCAATCTCTCGGACATTTATCACACTTTTTTAAACTTTTGGGCTTGGCTCACTCCTGGTCCTGTGCTCAGGGATCACTCTGGTGGGGATTGAGGAACTATATGCAGTTCCAGAGATTGAACCTGGGTGAGCTGCATGTAAGGTAATATCCCTACCCACTGTACTTAATTGCTTTGGTCTCTGTAGCCATTAATGTGAGGATATCAAATGAGAGAATTGGGTGTCATTGTAACTGAAGTGCTTTGTGGGGATCTCCTAACAGTGGGAGATAGAGACAAGATAGTGGGTGGGGGATCTAAGGTAAAAATATGACAGCAATAAAGATCAAAAGGAAGAAGTTTGAGAGAGGTACACTTCAATTAATTAATAGACGTAAGGAATTTCTAGGGATTTGCAAAGCTTGGTATTTTTGTTCCAATGAACAGGGATCTTTTGAGACCTCTAAGTTCATAGATGGGACCTGTGCATCCATCAGGAAGGGGTACCTGGTGATTCCTGATGATTCCAATGCACCCAATGAATGATGACTGATGTGACCAGTAGACAGTTTTATTCAGGGTAAGCAGTGATTTATATAGAGACAAAAGGAATGTAGTATATGCAGGGTGAGGTTGTGTAGTGAGAGGGAGACAAAAGGGGAAATTAATGGTTCTGTGGCTACATGCAGCTTCAAGGGACACATACTTAGAGGGTTTCTACCCTCTCTGAACAGGAACAAAGCTTATTCTCCTTAAAGATTTCATGCAGCAAAGGCAACTCTTGTCCTCAAGTCTGACCAATGGTATATTACTAATTTATACTTTTGTCCAGGAAACATGATCCCCTGGTGTCAGTCTGTCCCCATCACTTGAATCAGTGCTCTGAGACCACTGCCTTTGTGTTCCTGGAGCACTCTCACAGGTTAACCAGTCCAGATGGGAGCCTCGTCAGTGGGAGCCCCGACAGGAACATAGACTAGAATTCAAATTTTTTCTTTATATAAGAGCTGAGATAGAAACATACATGCATGATAGATAGTCACTACATCCTAGACCCTTTTTTGATATTTTAATTGCCAAGAGTATCTGTTTATATTGTTTATGATCATGTATTTTTAATGAATTTGTGTCATTTTATATTTTTTTATTTACAATATATTTCCTCCCCCATTCCTTTGCTATTTTTTGGTGGTTTTTGTTGGGGGGAGTGTTGTTTGTTTGCTTTTGGGTCATACCCAGTGATGCTCAGGACTTATTCTTGGCTCTCTGTTCCAGAATGACTTCTGGCAGTGCTTAAGGAACCATTTGCAGGACTGGAACTGACCCAGGGTCACCTACATGCAGTGCAAGCACCTTAATCCCTGTGCTATCTCTCTGGCCTGCTATTGTTTTTTTAAGTTTCTTTTTTCCCCCTTCTTGTTACCTGTTTATTTGTTTGCTTTTAGTTGTTAGCACTATAAAGTTAACATAATTAATTGGCGGCCTTATGTTAATCTTTCCAAATAGATATATAGCACTATAGACTATAGCACTGTCATTCTGTTGTTTATCAATTTTCTTGAGCAGGCAACAGTAACGTCTCCATTGTGAGACTTGTACTGTTTTTGGCATATGGAATACACCATGGGGAGCTTGCCAGGCTCTGCCACACGGGCGGGATACTCTCAGTAGCTTGCCGGGCTCTCAGAGAGGGACGGAGGAATCGAACCCAGGTCAGCTGCATGCAAGGCAAATGCCCTACCTGCTGTGCTATCACTTCAGTCCAGTCTTTCCAATTACTCAAGGATATTTTTATGCTTTAAATTCCTATGTACTTTTTTTGATTCCTATGTACCTTTATGGGCTTTATAGATGGATTTTATAGTACTGTATGTTTTAGGTTGGGGATGCTCCCAACTGGTGCCCCAGCCACTCCTAGTTATGTTTTGCCAACTTTGCCAACTTTGTTGAGTGTGAGGGCCAGAGGTTATGGTGGTTCTTGACTGCTGAGGACCCACAAGGTCACCCTGTAGGTGCTCAACGACCTCCAGGGCTCTACCTGGCCATACTTGGGATGTCATGTGGTACCTGAGATTGACCCTGAGATCCGTCCCAGATCACATGCATGCCAGGCGTGCCCCTAGCTGCTATACCATGTCCAGGCTCCATATGGAGTATTTTAATCCTTTTCTTTCCTTCTCCCTGGCTGTAGTAGTAGTCATAGTTTTGTTATTATAGATTTACACAGTCAACAGGTGCTTATATTTATCAGCACTTACCATTTTCTATGGTTTACTATATTTCCTTACAACTCATTTTCCTTTTAGATTTGGTGTTTTGTTGTTGTTGTAATTTAAACTTGAAATGATTTTTTTTTTCACTTTGGCCCACACCTGGCAGTTTTCCAGGGTATTCCTAACCGTGGGTCCCAGCATGCAAAGCAGGTGCTCAGGCCTGTTGAGCCACGTCTCTGACCCTGAAATAGGGAATTTACAAGAGGATCTCCCAATCTCTCTTCTACGGGGCATATATGTGGAGATGTTGATTTCTTTAGTCCTTGAGACATTAACAAAGGAAAGCATTATTTTTAGGTAACCACTTCACTGCAAAGCCGTTTTCTTACTCAGTATAAAAAATAGTCTCCATGTATGACAGATACAAATATGAAAAATATTGACAATACTGATTTAAGTTCTTTCAGTGAAGCTTGTTTCTTACTGGTAAGCATGCCCAGGTTTTATTCGTAGTGCACTTCATGTTTGTATTGTTATTTTAATTTTGTGATATTTCAGTCATTATTTTGAGCCTCCCAGGCAGTGCTCAGAGGACCTGGGGTCCTCTGTAGGAAAACTTGGCCAACTGGGTTGAGTAGTAGAATACTCAAGCCTGGAATGTGGCATTGTTCAGGTCTTGTGTGCTGGGAGCTACCTGGTGATGATGGGAGGTAGAGTGTCATGTAGTACTAAGGATTGAATTTGGGTCCCCACTCCTGAAAAACATTTGCTCCTGACCTCAATCCCATATTTTAGTCTCACATGATCTTTCATCTCAGCATAATGTTTTAGATTTTCAGTTTCCTTCCCCCAGTTGTTGTGGGTGAGATATTTATGGTCAGTCTGTTATAACTACTGCCTTTTATTTTTAAAAATAAGTTATAGACTGGAGATTGGCTTATTGTTAGAACCATTGCTTTGCATATGTGAAGCCTTGAGTTTGATCTCTGGCACAAAACGAAGGGGGAAAAAGTATTTATTCAAATACTTTTAACCTCTTATCTCTCTTTTTTTAATTACATTCTGTTTTGGAAATTATGAGGCAAAATGATCTTTCTTATTTCAGGTAATCTTGGTTGAACTGTGTTCCACTGGACTCCAGAGATCTTTCTTTGATGAGGATGACCTGAATACTATTTCTGAAGGAGATAGTGTGTATGCTTTCCAGACCTCTCTACCACCTGTCCAGGAGATAACTTCAGGTACAGTGGTGTTTTTCATAATTTTACTTGGATATTATGTATATGGGCTTGAGAGAATTTCATTAGGTATGTGTAAAGCATTAGACATAATAGTTTTAACATTTAGAATGGTTGGGCTTACTTTCTGTGAAAATATATTTAATATATAAGTATTTGTTATTAAAACTTATTCTACTGTTACAGGGATTCTCAAAACCCTCATGATTATCAGAATTGGTTGAAGGGTTCATTAAAGAGTTCTGCATCCCCCTTCCCTACTTAAAAGTTTTTGGCTCAGGGGCTGGAACAATAGCACAACAGATAGGGCATTTGCTTTGCAAGTGGCCAACCCATATGGTCCCCTGAGCACTGCCAGGAGTAATTCCTCAGTGCATGAGCCAGGAGTAACCCCTGTGCAAAGCCTGTTGTGATCCAAAAGGCCAAAAAAAAAAAAGCTTCTGACTCAGTTTCATGGGGCCAAGAATTTGTATGTCTTACAATTTTCTATATGATTCTAATGACACTGGTTCTGAATCCCTCTTTGAGAATTACTATTCAGAATAGGTTCTGCAAGATACATAGCTCCGTAGCAGGACCCTTGCATTATGTGTCTTAATTCTGGGTTCTGTCCATGGTACCACAAAAACAAAGAACAGTATAGAAAAGATGCTGAGGTCATCTTTATCTTCCTCAGTCTTATAGTTTAGTATGTACCTGAGAAAAAATTTTACAAATTGGACAAGTAGATCGTCAAAACAATTATTAAGTGAGTTTTTCTAATAGTCTTACTTTCTCTTTTTCGATTTTCCTAAACTTTTTGATATGTCTGTATTCATTTTGATCCAATTAGCCTGTCAAGAAGGGATCATATTTAGAAGTTGCTGTGCCTGTGGGAACATAGACCCCAGATGAATACTGGGCCATTACTCTGTCAGGTGCAGTCTCGGGGAACCAGAACTGTTGTTCAGAGTCTATAGAAAATCTGGGCATGGAATCTGGAACAGGATATCGTCTGGTTCAGTTATATTATAACATCATGAAACACGTTCCAGTTTCAAAGTCTATCATAGAGGATACGTCAGTGCCTTCAAAGTCACATTTAGGAATTTTTGAAGATTCATGATATGCAATTCCTTTGCTTCCTCAGTGGAAAGAGTCTTATCATCTCTGTGTACTTCTTACATTGGTATTCGAAGATAGTGGATCCTTTAGTCTGTGATCAAAGCTTCTAAGCAATCAAAATAATACAGGAATATTTTTCAAATTGGTGTTATAAAGTGTTTATTAAAATCCCTTTCCTTTGTCCAGGGCTTGAGCCTATTTTGCATGGGCAGGACCCAGTTTAATCTCCAGAAGCACGTTGTTCCCTGAGCACTGCCCCATGGCCTGGGTGATCCCGAGGCCACAAGACCCAGCAGCACCAGACCTTTGTGCACTTGCATTGGTTCGCCTGACCATTTGGCCAGGAGTATCCACAAGGTGCTCTCCCTAACCAAATGAACAAACAAACAAACAAAAACTGTTGCCATCTATTATTTTAAAACCATTGGTTGACCACAGTGAAAAACTCACTACCATGACCTGTTAGATTTCTACCATCTAGCAACTGGCATATTTCACTAAAGTGATCTAGCATTTCCCGGTAGTAGTAAATAGATGCCCGGTGAGAAAGAAGGACTGAAGAAATCAGGATTCTCAATAGTGAAACAGTTTCTTTGTGAATGCAAATACTATTTTCTCTCCAGTTCAGCCATCTAGTCTACCTCTCTCCCCGTGTATGGTCACCTGTGAAGGTCAGCAGTTGTCCATGCCTACCTATAGCAAGAATAAGGTGCTCATCCTCTTCTGTAACCTGGTGGGGTCAGGGCAACTGGCTACCAGGTATGTCTAACTTCACACTTCCTTTTAATATTTTTAGATTTTTAGATAAATGTGCTTGGAATTTTGCCTAGAATAATTCTAATTTGATAAAAATTAAATATCAATTTTCAAGATTTATCAACTAAATATGGGGTATAGTGTACTTTATGATTATGAATATTAGAATGACTAATCATCCTTAACATTAGAAATTTTGCTATTAAAATTTTAGTATAAATTATCATTATCCTTACTGCTATAATTATACTGTGTTATAAGTCTTGGGCAGTGCAATAAGAGAAGAAAAATCAAACTGTAAGAGAAGAGAAGATAAAACTATCACTGTTTGCAGATTATATTGTCTGCCCAGAGAATCAGGAACTGTAAGATTACTTGAAAGAATTTTGGAAAGTTACGGGTTACATAAAAAATGTACAAAACAGATGGTTCACTTATGTAGTCTAAAAATTCTTAAAAGGTATAACTCCAAACAAGTATTTTATATAATCCTTTTGGAGGGGTGCTCAGAGGTCGGAGTCACTTCCATCACCACTGAGGGTTTACTCCTTGCTCTGTGTTCAAGGGATCACTCCTAGTGTTGCTCAGGGACCATCTGTGGTGATGGGAAATTGCTTATAAGTCAAGCACTTTACTCCTAGTATTATCTCTTGGGTCAAATCAAAGCATTTTACATTGGCAAAATATTTATAAAATTTATCTAGAACAAAAAACTGGGAAGAATAGCCAGAAATATTGAAAGAAGGAAAAAAGAGGAAAGAATTATTCTGTGAAAATAGGAAAAAAATCATAATTATTAAAGTGTTATGATATAGCAGAAGACTATACAATTAAATCACTGAGGCATAATAGCCCAAAATAATCACTATATGGTAAAAATGGCATGTTCTATAAATAAGTCTCAGTCATTTAATTTTTTTTAAATAGTATATAATTATTTTTTATTCTTGTCTTAAATTCACATGTGCAAGATCTAGATTAGGCACGTAATATACAAAATTATAAAATAACTTAAAGGTGATACAGGGGAATTTTCTGTCTTTGGGTGAGTGGCTATTTTATTTATTTTTTATTTTGGGGTTGTACACATGTGTTCAGGGACCACCTCTGGTAGTGTTTGAGGGACCATATGTGGTACAGAAGATCAAACCAGATGGAGAGAGGGCCATCTTCAAGCAAGACAAGACCTTGACCCCTGTACTGTCTCTAAGACAAGGGACTAAAGGAAAATACAGTGCTTAAAAAAACAATTATATTATAAACTAAATGCAAATTTGAAAGATAAAGCACAAAAATTTACATCGTGTAATAAGTAATCATATAAAATGGAGATCTTTGGGCCAGGGGAATAGCTCCAAAGACTAATACACGTGTTTTTTCTGTTGGGGCCATGAGAATCCCCAGTATTGCATGAGCTTTGAGTAATGCCTGAATACCACCAGGTATGCCCCTTGCCAAAACAACAACAAAAAATTTAAGAACTAGCTCTCAGATAGTGATAAAAATATTCCTTTAGTAAAATGCATTATAGAAATGAGTAGTAGGTTAGAAATATAAGAAGAATAAGATGAAATATTAAATTTTTTGTGTGTTTTATTTGGATGTCCAGGTGTATGTGTCATTTTAAGCACAGATTAATTAAAAGTTGAAAGAAACCTAAATATTTATAATAATAGAGGATAATTATTATTTGATGATATAATATTATAGATATTATTTAATATTATCTATATTATTAGGAATAATATCCTATTATTTATCAAATCTATCCATTATTTCAGTGAATCTACAGTGCCCTTGCCTTTTCAAACACATTGCTTCATACTTGTGTTTGAGCAAAGTTTATTCAAGTTTTGTATTTTCACCTTATTGATTACTTTGACAACTCTATGTGGTCTGGTCATGGAACAATCAGTGGTCAATGACTTGCCCATTTTACCTAGAGGTAGAGCTGAAACTGATAGCCACATCCTGTGTTTGTGGCACTTCAAATTTACTCTAGTTTGGGTTTAGAATACATTCCAATTATGAGGATATTCAGGATGCACAAAAGCATCAGTTCTCAACTGGATGGCATTCTGTGGCTTTATCCCTTGGAGCATTCCTCTGGTCCCAGGTTTTCTAGTCAGATTTCTATTGAAAGGACGAGTTTTTAAGCCAGCTAATCATTTGGGGCCATTTGTTGTCATTACAATGTCTCACTTTGCCTTATATCAGTGGGCTTATGTTTACACTAAAATGCCTTTCTTTTCAGTGAGCTTCTCTGACGGGAAATTCTGTTGTGCTTGTTGCTTAATTCCTAGCCAGTGCAGTGAGTTCATGGGTTAATGAAACACTCACGACTGTCAGGTATTGCTGGCTTTTTATTTGATCAAACATCTTGATTTCCTTGAACTTTTCAGATTCGGTCCACCTTTCCTGATAAGGGAAGACAGAGCCATCTCTTGGGCCCAGCTCCAACAGCGCATTCTTAGCAAGGTCCATCCTCTCATGAAGAGTAAGGCCTCTGTACAGGTGAATGTTTGTATGCAGGGAATGCCCAGGGGTGGGAGGTAGGTGAATGGTGGGAAGGGGAATAGGAATCTAAGGATGGTTCAGGAGAGACAAGAATGTGAAGTAAAAGAGGCTCTGGAGACAGTAGAAAGAAGTCGGCTCATGTGGGAAGTTCTGAATTCAGTCCAGAGCACCATGTGGCTGCTACAGCCCCGGTAACTCCAGTATCCCACTGGGAAGGCACTGATATAAAAAAAATAAAATTACTGTTAACGAAACTATTTTCATTGTTGTATAATATTTATACCATTGTATAAAATAGCTTTTGTTTATATACAAGGAAATAACAATTTAATGGTCTATGCTGTTCACTCTTTGCATACATTAAAATATACGTGGCTTTCATGTCTACCTGGGCTGGAGCGATAGCACAGAGGTAGGGCATTTGCCTTGCGTGCAGCCAGCCCGGCCGAGCCAGGTTCGATTCCTCTACCCCTCTCAGAGAGCCCAGCAAGCTACCGAGAGTATCTCGCCCATGCAGCAAAGCCTGGCAAGCTACCCGTGGCGTATTCGATATGCCAACCACAGTAACAATTGTCACAATGGAGACGTTACTGGGCCCGCTCGAGCAAAATTGATAAACAACAGGAGGACAGTGTTTGTTTTTTGACAGTTTTCATGTCTTCCTAGGACAGACCATGTAGAATTTTTTTAGTATCAGATTCTTTTAACTTCCCCCTCCCAGCCCAACTTTTGTCTTAGGAAGAATTTTTACTAGAAGATGAACCAAATTTATTTTCTAGGTCATTTCCTTGCAGGCAGTTCTTTTCTTTCCTGTCAGAGAAAATCATATATTCAATTCACGTTTTATACCAACTAACATTCTGTTGAAGTCCTTCTGTACATGTGTTTCAGCTTTATCCCTAAAAGAATTGCTTTTTGAACTGCCTAGGAATCCAAGTTAGAAACTATAACTTTTCTTAACTGAGTCAGGAATTCAAGTCATATTCTCCAAACCTGTGCTCCTGATTATTGAAAGTGGATGAAACTTCTGCCATGGAAGCATTTAACTTAGCTGACCTCATTTTAATATTAAATTTGTATGTATATTTGCCTTTGCCCTTTTAAAGCTATTTAAAATAAATTTTTACATGTGTTTGTGTGTCTGTAGGTGTGTGGTGTACTGGGGTACTAGGGATTGAGGACAGAGTCTCATTTACGGCAAAGCAAGTAGTGTACCACTGAGTTATGTGACATAATCTCATTTTAATTTAAGCAACCAGTCAGACAGTGGTGCTTGCAACCTCTAACTTGACTATGGATGCTGTTTATATATATATATATATATATGTATATATATGTGTGTGTGTGTGTATACACATACATATGTATATATGTTTATGTATGGTTGAACATGACTCTGTAAGAATAATGTCTCCTGAATGGTTATGAAAGTTCTCAGTTTAGCTCACATTTTTACATTTTAACTTTTTTAACTTTAATGCTATATTATATAATGCCTCACTATGCTGTCAATTTAGAAAGAACTTATTCAGAATCAAACACTGAACTGATTAAAAATAGTGAGCATATCAAGATTTTAAAAAAATTTCCCTACTCAAAAGAGATTACAGAAAATAAATGTCATATAAAAATGACTTTCTGGACAGAATAAATTGCATGAATTACAAACAAAGGTATTTATCATTGCCAGGACATGTTTTTGTATGTTTTTGGTATCACATCTTGCAGTGCTTAGGGATTACTAACAACTCTGTGCTCAGGGGTTGCTCCTGGCAGTCCTTAGGAGACAGTGACATGCTGAGAATCCCCCTCACTCCTCCTGGACACAAAAAATGCACTTTAGTCTGTTGAGTGTCTCTACAGCCGTTATCAGTTGTTTTTTTTCTTTAAGAGAATGTCTGCCTTTTTTTTCTGCCAAATTTTGGAAAGAACTTTATTTTCCTTCTAATTATATTCAGTAATAAGTTATCAGTAATAATTTTAAAAACTATTTTATTGACATTAATATCCCATTGATGTGTTTTTCACTTTTAAATTATTTATTGTTTGATTTTGTTTTTTCAGCCACACTCAGTTGTGTTTCAGAGCAATTCCTGGTTTGTTGCTCAGGGCACCATATATTGTGCCAGAGATCGCACCTGGTCCTCCTGCATGCAAAGCATGACTCTAATTCATTGATCTATCACTCATCACTGGTATATTTTTAATTGTGATGGATATGTGTAATATATTTTAAATGTTCATAAGTATAATTAATCATATTAAAATTGTATAATTGGTGCCACTGTACCTCCAAATATTTATTAGCCCTATAAAAACTCTACTTCATTAAACAATTCCCATTTTCCTCTCTCCTATCCTGTGATAACATTCATATTCTTAGGTAAAGGTAAAGGCCCTCCTGTTGTTCGTTGATTTGCTCGAGCGGGCCCAGTAACGTCTCCATTGGAGACTTTGTTGTTACTGTGTCTGGCATATGGAATACGTCACGGGGAGCTTGCCAGGCTCTGCCATGTGGGCGAGATACTCTCGGTAGCTTGTCGGGCTCTCCGAGAGGGGTGGAGGAATCGAACTCGGGTCGGCCATGTTGGCTGCGTGCAAGGCAAACGCCCTACCACTGTGCTATCGCTCCAGCCCTGCTATCGCTCCAGCCCTATAAATTTTCTTACTCTAAGTATTTCATATAAATCAAATCATAGTATTTGCCCTTCTCTGTCTTGCTTATTCCACTAAGGGAAGTGTTTTAAAGATTTATTCATGTTATAGCATGTGTGAGTGTTCTTCATTATTAAGGCTGAATAATATTCAGCTGTGTATATTCCATATTTGATTTTTCTGTCCATTTGTTAATGGATACTTGGATAGCATCTGCCTTATGACTATTGTGAAGAATGCCATTTCAACTCACTTCAATTTAGAAAATTGAAACCTGAAAAAAAATGTACATCTTAACATTAAAAGCCTGGGTAATGTCTCTTTATATGGACTATTTTAAAGTATGTACATATTTAACATTGGTAAATAAAATGTTGTTACTGTGTTTGGCATATCGAATACATCACGGGTGACTTGCCAGGCTCTGCCGTGTGGGTGAGATACTCTCCGTAGCTTGCCGGGCTCTCTGAGGGGGTGGAGGAATCGAACTCGGATCGGCCATGTTGGCTGCGTGCAAGGCAAATGCCCTACTGCTGTGCTATCGCTCCTTATTTTGGGAATTTGTAATAATTCCCAAAATTATTTGGGAATTTGTGTAAGATAGTAATAATCATCTTAATGAAGTAAGTTAGTTATATACTAACATGATTTATTTTTTGTTAACTGTATCAACCTCTACTTTAAGTTTTTGATATTAAAAACACTTTTTATGTTTTATAAGGTATGTTTCAAACAGTAGTAGTTTATTGTGTTAAAAGGTTTATCTTCTAAGCAATAACCTTCTGTTTATAGGTATTTAATACTATTAAGGGATGTTAAAGTTAGCAATAAAATCATATTTTTGAGTCATTAAATTAAACTACTAGTTTAATTTAGGGTGGTGGCGGGCTTAAGCTGTACGGCACTTGCCCCTGCATAGCATCTGCAAAGCCCTAAATTTGATCCCCTATAAGTCTAATAACATTTGCATGCATTATGACCACTTCTTCTGGTTTTGTCTTGGCAGAACCTAGGGTCACTGTTCTCCATTCGGGTTGTGGGCCTCTCCGTGCCTTGTAGCTACTTGTCTCCACAGGATAAACGACCACTCTATCACTGGGCAGTTGACAGGTAATAGAACATACGAGATATGGTAAAGGAATAAATATAATCTTCATTCCTTTGCAGCTATCATGTGATTATAATCTTAGCTACTCTTGAACACTAACCTCCCTAGTCAAATAAATCAGCCTCATGTCTATTAATGATTCTACTCTTATTAGATGGGTATTCAAGAGGTATTTTTATAGAGAGGTCTTTTGATAGAGAGGTATTTTGATAGAGAGGGGACCCTGAGATTCTGAGAGACTAAGTAAATTGCTTGTACTTACAACAGATAGTGGTTAAGAATTTGAATTTGATCCCAGGTCAATCTGACCTGAAATCCCAAATTCATACAAATAGGTCATGCTACTAAATTCAATCTTAAATATGTCCTTTAGGGTAAAAAGTCTATTACAGAACCTTTGCCCCACAGCATAGGAAATTGTGAACTGTGACTGAGGAATAAAACCAGTATGGTCAACTCTCCAGTGGCATTGACTTCCTGGTCCACTGTGTATTGACCTTTATACATTTCATGTCATTCAGCTATGCCAAGTCAACTAGAGGCTCTAGCGCAGTATGTGAGAGGCATTTTGCTGTTTAAGGAAAATGATCACTCTGGATAAGAACTGAGTGTTGAAAGTAGGGAAAGGGATATACAAGATAACCTTTGAAAGGTGGGGTTAGGGGGTGGAGAGAGAGAGAGAGAGAGAGGCAGGTTGGGGTATGGCAGGAGGGAAACTGGGGACATTTGTGATTGGGAAATGTGCAGGAACGGGTGTTAGAACATTATACGACTGAAACCCAATCATGAACAACTTTGTAACTGTGTATCTCACTGTGATTTAATAAAAAGGGCGGGGGGGGGGGAGGGGAGGAGAAAAAAGAAACTGAATAAAGGGCCAGACCTTTCAAGGGTACAGCATGTAGGGCACTGGCCTTGTGCCTGGCTGGCCAGGTTCAATCCCTAGCACCCTGTATGTTCGTGAGTCCTGCCAGCAGCAGTCCCCAAATGCAGAGTCAGAAGTAAGCTCTGAGCACTTCTAGGTGTGGCCACAAAACAAAAATAAAATTATAAAATTTAAAAAGAAAGAAAGAAAGCTCAATAAGGTTTCTTTTATTTACTAGTTTGGTCAAGTGAAGCTGACTGAACCCATAATGTAGGTATGATGTGATTTATAAAATCATACATTTGGTCTTGTCATGATTTCTGAGACAGGGTTTCTAAACTCTTTAATTTTCTAGGCAATGAATGATGAAGATATTAATAATATTTTAATATTAATAATAAAGTTTCAACCACATTTGAATTAATAAATTAAATGTTAAAAGGAAGGGCCTGTTGACAGGTAATAGAACATACGAGATATGGTAAAGGAATAAATATAATCTAAATATAAACAACAGTAGAGTTAGAAGCCTGCATGCAGGAAAGGTAGATTTCGAGTTGGTGAGCTTGTGAGGGGCAGGGAGGGGTGAGACCAGGAGGGCAGGAAGGTCTGCGCTGCTTATTCCATCCTTGCCCTAGTGTGCTTTTCCTAGTCAGCCTTTACTAAGTTAATTATAATTCTATAATATAATATGTGGACTGATAAGTAAGCAAAATGATTCCTTGCATTCTGACAACCACTCATTACACCTCCTTTGAGGGGAGAAGTTTTATTGGACTGGGTCCTTAACCTGTGAGATCTGATGTTTCCAGGTAGATAGTATCAGTATTGAGTTCATTGGTAGTTTAGTGAGTCAAGGTCACAGAGAACCATGCCAGAATTGGTATTAAAATCTGAATTGGTTCTAGGGAAGAATTATAAAGAAGAGCCCTTCCTTTTTTCCCCCCATACACCCCCCCCCCACACTTAAAAAAATTGAATCACAGTGAGATGCGCAGTTACAGAGTTGTTCTTTGTATGTATGATGGAGTTTCAACACTCATCCCTTCACCAATGCACATTTCCCACCACCAATGTCCCCAATTTCCTTTCTACCTCCCCCCCCCACACACAGCCCACAGCCTGCATCTAAGACAGACTCTCTCTCTCTACTCTCTCTCTCTCTCTCTCTCTCTCTCTCTGGATGTGTGTGTCTTTCTCTTCTCTCTCATTTTGTTTTTTGGCACTGTGGTTTGCAGTACTGTTACTGAAAGGGTATTGTGCACATCACTTTAACTCCTTTCAGCATTCATCTTATGTCCAGAATGATCATTTCCACTATCATTGTCATAGTGGTCTCTTCTCTGTCCTAACTGTACCCACCCCCTTCCCCTTGGTGGCAAGCTCCCTACAATGGGTCAGTCCTCCTGACCCTTCTTTCTACTGTCTTTGGGTATTCACATATTAATGTTTGTTTGTTTGTTTATATCCTGCAAATCCTTAAATGTGTGTCCTTCTCCCTCTGACTCAGCATAATACTCTCCTTGTCCATTCATGTATAAGCAAATTTCATGACTTCATTTTTCCTCATAGCTGTGTAGTATTCCATTGTGTACTCTACACAATGAAGCCCTTACTTTTTGAGGGAACCAGAAATTTCTAGGGTTCATGAGTATTCCTAGACATCCCCCCCCATACTACATTACATTTTCTCATCCAGTTTTTCTGTATACCACAGATAAGTGAGCTCATCCTGAGTCTATATTTCACTCAACTTGAAATCTTCTCATTCCAATCAGGTTTCAAAAAATTCCATGATTTCATCATTTCCTACAGCTGCATAGTATCCCATCGTGTGTGTGTGTGTGTCCTGTGTGTACCACTTCTTCATAATCCATTCATCTGCCATTGGACACCAAGGTTGATTCTATACCAAAGTTTTTGTACTAAGTACAGCAATAAATAATAGTGTGCATAATCCTTTTTAATGCATTTTTATGGTTCTTTAAAGTATGTATTTTTTTTAAATCTTGTTGGTAGATGATCAAAGTTAAATTGCTTGGTCATATGGCAGTTCTTTTCTATGTTTACTGAGGACTCTCCGTATTGTTTTCCATAGCAGTTGACCAGACAATAATTCCCACCAACAATAGATGAGAGCTGATTTTTCACCACATCCCCACCACCATAAATTGTTCCTACTATTTCTGATTTGTGCCATTCTTCCTGGTATGATCTTGATTAGGACTTCTCTAATGATAAGTGAGGAGTTAAACATTTTTTCATGTATCTAATGACTATTTTCTTTTCTTTCTGTGAGAAGTGTCTGTTCATTTTCTGTCCCCAAGATTTGGTAAGGCTTTTGAATTTTTTTTATTGATCCCTGACCACTTTATTTATTTTTTTAAGGTTTTTTTTTAATTTGTTTATTGAATCACCGTGAGAACAGTCACAAAGCCTTTCAGTTTAAGCCTCGGTTGGTTATACAATGATCAAACACACCATCCCTTCACCAGTGCAACGTTTTCCACCACCAATAACCCTAGTATACCCCCTCCCACCCACCCCCTGCCTGTGTAGCCGATTTCCACTTTACTCTCTCTACGTTGATCACATTCAATATTATGACAACAGACCCAACATTATTATTTGAAATTTTCCCCAATATTCAGACCTGCCAAAAAGACATCATTAGTAATTTGTTTTCTATTGCTGATTATGAAGAGCATAGGATGTTTTGCAGCTGCAATAGTGGCCACACAAATTTGGATTTCTGATATTTTAGCAACAAGCCTAGAGAGATTACTGCTAAAAGCCTCTGGGTTCTGAGATTGGTTTGTATGCCTCTGGGATCATGATCGTTCAGGAACCGGAGGAGGCATTTGTGGGTGGCAACCCGGGGCATTGTCATGGTGGGGAGCAGGGCCAATTCCATCTCCCATCCCACGAGGCCCCACGTGCCTCATCAATGCAGTCTCATACCTGGCTGTTCATTAGGCTCTAAAAGATGGAGGCCACTATGCCACTGCCGTAAGGGGGGGACATGAGGAGGGACAAACACCCTTCCCCTCCCAGAGCGGCATAGCACCATAGTTAAATGCACAGTCCAGATGCATTTTGGTTGGGCATTATATTCTGCTCAGATTTTCCCACCACCATTCAAGCCTGCCTTTCAGGGACAAACACTAGATCATTTACTTTCCATTGATCACTTTGCATATCAGAAAATGTCACGTGGCTACGTAAGTGGCCACGCAGTTCAGAAGAACAGTCCTGGTACCCGCATACTGGAGTCATGCTTGTAGAAACTCACGGTTGCCAGGATTCCATTTGGAGAAGACTGATCCCTGAGCACTTTATATCAACAATTTATACCCTTGATATCAACCATTCATCTGATATCTTGAATGCTAATATTTTTCCCATTCAGCTACTTTTAGTTTTAGCCTGTATTTGTTTTCTCATGCAGAAGCTCTTGAACTTTATGTAGTTCAGTTTATTTATTTATTTTTTAATTTTTTTGCCTTTACTAGTGGTATCAGATGTCTTTAAGGTTTGAATCTTGAAGCACTCTATCTATATTTTCTTCATTGTACTTGATAATTTCCAGTCGTATCTCAGGGTCTTTGATTTGAGCTAGAGATTCCCAAATATCTGAGATCAGATCTGATTTTATCTTTTTCAGAAAGTGATTACACTTTATAATCTGTTAATCTAACAGTGTCTGTGCCCTTAGGATGCTATTTCACTGGTCATGAAGTTGAATATCTAATATTTCTCTTTGCATAGCAGATCATTATAGACATTTTTGAGGAAAGGTACAATACCCAAGAACCCTTAGGTTTGGTAATACTTTGGTGGCTGAAGGGGTGAAGTTCTCAGCAGGACACATCATCCACATGGTTTTGGTTTGAGAGGAGGTTGACAGGGGCTTCCCTTGGATCCAGGGGACCCAGAAACAGGTCACATGAACTTGAATTTTTCCTTTAACTCCCATAACTTTCCTTTTTTGGAAATATCTTTCAAAAGTATTGATCTGTACTTTTTTGAAAACAACCCAATAAATGTGCCTCTTTCACCAGAGGTAGTTTGAGAAGTACTAGGACAGAATTGAGTACACAGCAAGTTTATCATGCTAAAGAGAGCCCTGCCTTGTGGTTGTTGCAACCTCCTGCCCACCCACCCTCCCTTTATAAGATAGTGGCCTCCTCAGGAGCCTTCAGGGCTACACTTGACACTACGGATGGGGTAAGATGAAATGGTGCTGTGCCAGGGATTCAGCTCAGGACCTTGTACATACAAAGCATGTACTCAACCCCTTCCAACTAGGTCCTTATCTCTGACTATATTGGCACTCTGGTCCCTATTCCCACCCTTGCTCCCATCTCACTCTGACAGTTATCCATCCCTATTGTAGTACCTTTTGTTTTCTAGAAATATTTATTTTGTGAAGACTTATAGTAAGATGCACATAACATAAAATTTACCATTTCGGCCATTTAATAAATGCACAGGTTAGTAGTGCATTCGCATTATTCGCATTACTGTGTGACCATCAATAACATTCACGGACAGATTTTTTTATTTTTAGTGTTTAAAAAAATTTTCCCCTCTCCATGATTGTAGTTTTTATGATGGTCATGGGTGACACACATAATTGATTGTAATGCTCACCAGGCGACACACATCTGGTGGTGATACACATTCAGCCATCATGCTCACTGAGGATCATACACTTTGGTTGCATTGCTGCACACGTACTTACTGAGGTATTGATTCCCTATGATTGTGATACTCCTGAACATTCTGATGGTCATGCTTACTAGGGGTTGCTGGGTCCTTGCGTATGTGTTTGTTAGAGACATAATCTCTGGCAATGGTACCTAAATAATTATTGAGTTCCATTTTTTTTTCCTTTTTACTGGGGGGTGGGGTTGGACACTCTTGGAAGTGCTTGGGGTCTGTGGTGCTTGAGCTATCTCCAGCAGTGCTCAGGGAGGTACATGGCAATGCGGACCAAATTTAGGGTCTTGTACATGTAAAATGGGCTCTGCTTCTTGAGACACCTCGCTGCCTTTAGTGTGCAAGAGTTTTAGTTACAGTTCATCAGAGATCACACATTTCCTTTTTGGTGCTGGGAATCCCAAATGGAGCTTCTCAGTCTAACACCCACTCAGCATATGTGGGTGGTATTGAAGATCAGACTCTCCATCTCCATCCCCCAGGCTCCCATACCTGTTCCATTTACCCAAGTGAACAGCCCATCCCATTGCCCATTTTTTCCAACTCCTGGAAACTCGTTTTCTCTGTCTCCATTCATTTGACTACTCGGACTACTTCAGCATAGTTCATGGAACTACTTAAATCTCTCCTATTTTGATGCCTGGGGATTTGTATAATAGGGTTAAACTCCAATTTTTGTTTTCCACTCCTGATTTTTAAAAAAGCAGACTGAAGACTAAGGCAGAAAGGGCTCAACATATTTGATTTATTGGTCAGGCTGATTAAAGGATAAGGCATGGTCCATGGATGAATCCAATGTGAGTTTTACATACATTTTTTCCAGAATTGGCAACTGCCCCCCCCCCCACCACCAGCTTTAGTCAATGCAAAGAATTTAGCCTTTTGCATTGTGGAAATGGAGAATTTGGGGATCTTAAGGAGATAAACTTAGATCTGGAGTTCCTACTGTTTCTCTTGTTTCTCATTGTGTCTTCCCTAAAATATGTGTTCTAAACTCAGTCTTCAGATGCAGAAATGCTTTCAGAGAGTTTCAGGCATGAATGAGAAGGCCAGTCTATTAGCTTTTGTTCTTTTTTTTAAATACTGGATTACTTAATTATTAAAAAAAATTTTTTTTGATGAATCACCATAAGATACAGACTTGCAAATTTCCGTGATTACAGCCAGTCATGCAATGATTGATTACCCATCCCTCCACCTGTGCCCATTCTCCACTACCTGTGTTCCCAGTATTCCTCCCGTCCCCTGCCCCCCCCCCCCCAGAAGTCTATTAGTTTTTAGGCCGCTGAGAAGAATATGCTGAAGGGGCTGAGCTGATCACCCTGTCCTAGTCTCATCTCCCCTCCTTTGAAGGGGCTGAGGTAGACTATGATAGTTCTCCACAGTCATGAGACTAATCAAGCCAAGAGAATTCCTACTAGACATTTCTTAATCTCTTTTTCCCATCTGGCTTTTCTCTACCAGAAAACATTTCATTCCCGGACATGTCAGTTCTCATTCACAAAATTTTATCCTTCAGGGGAGGAAGTAATAGCACAGCGAGTAGGGCATTTGCCTTGCACGCAGCTGACCCGGGTCCGATTCCCAGCATCCCATAGGGTCACCCCAAGCACTGCTAGGGGTGATTCCTGAGTGCAGAGCCAGGAGTAACCCCTGAGCATTGTTGGGTGTGACCCAAAAAGCAAAAAAAATAATTGTCCTTCACATGAGTTTAAATTCTTTTTGGAATCATCTTGGAGATAGGGATTCTATGATAATTTCACTTTTCCTTGTAATGCATTATTAAAATTTGGGGGTGTAGACATTCCAACCATTTATTCAAGTCTTAATTTTAGGATAAAACCTCAGGTGCTGTGCTTTTGTCTCATCACTTCTACAAGCAATCTCTGAAATGGTGTAAAGCCAAGCAGCTGGGAATTCTAGCTTTATTCACACTGAAAATTTCTGGGTGTGGAAGGATCTGAAAGAGGGTATGGGTTGTGGCGGTGGGTGAGGAGGGCACTGCATTTGGATTGAGGTGGAGAAAAGTTAGCCATTCATCTTAGACATTGACATAGATGGGTATTTTTGTAGAACATTCAAGAACCGCCCTATACACACTAAGAAGATAGCTTGAGCTGCAGTGGGAGAGTTGTTCTCTGTTCTTACAGTAATCTAACTTTTCAAAGCGCCCAAGATCCCAAGGGAATGGAAAAAGTGTATTCATAGGTAGATTTGGGATGACAGCTTAGTAGAATTACAGCCCAGACAAGACCTCAATTTCTAGTCAGTTTTAGGTATTTATATTTGGGACATTTGGAGATAGACCATTGTACACTGCAGATATTTGAGAAGGTAACTCTCTGCTTTCTTACTGGCTCTCTTATCCTCTCTTTAGAGTTCTGCACCTCAGGAAGCCAGGAGGCCCTCCACACATCAAGCTGGCTGTGGAGTGGGATAGCTGGGCTAAGGAGTGGTAAGTGCAGTAGGCTTTGACCCTATCCACTTAAGCACTTTCCTGTGCCCGGTTCTCCATAGTGTGACTGCATTCCTCCCTGATGCTAGGAAATGTATTATTTTGAGAATCTGAGTGACAATAGTCTGGTTAAAAACGACAATAATATCACTGGTAAGAATGATGGTGGCACATAGTGCTAGTATTAGTAACTTTGCTCGCACTAGTTCAGCGATTATAGGACATCTGTTCCATTACACAAGTCTCTGCTTTGAGTCTTGTACATGTTTGCAATTTTCTCTTTATCATACCTACTCACATGGTCAACTCTGGGCCTAGAGTCAAATTCTGGTTTCTCTCTCATACATGAGCTGGGTGATTCCTTTATCTCAATTTAATAAGGTATATCTTTTTTTAAAAAAGAAGTTTTTTAGGGTTTTTTGGAAGGGTGAGGAGGGGTCATTATTGAAGCAGAGCTTAGAGGGTACTGAGGCCAGTCCTGATGATGCTTAGCCAACGAAACTGGGAAATTCAGTGCTTAGGTCTGAGAATGTGGAGGTGCTTGGACCCTTTAGTATCAGGTGCCACTTGTGTTGAGTTTGCAAGTCTCCAAGACTATACCTGGTAGTTCTCAAGGGTCCATGAGGAACTGAGTTTTGAATTCAGGCCCCTACATATGCAGACTTGGGCTGGAGCGATAGCACAGCAGAAAGGGCATTTGCCTTGTAAGCGGCCAACATGGCTGGCCCGAGTTCGATTCCTCCACCCCTCTTGGAGAGCCCGGCAAACTACCAGGAGTATCTCACCCACACAGCAAAGCCTGACAAGCTACTTGTGACGTATTCACTATGCCAAACATAGTAACCATTGTCACAATGGAGACGTTACTGGGCCCGCTTGAGCAAATCAATGAACAATGGGAGGACAGTGACAATGACATATGCAAAACACATGCCTGTGACTGCTGAACGATCCCCTGGCCCTATTCTTAATCACTGTACTTGACTACCTCTACAATCAGTTAATGTACCTTACTTTGAAAAGGAGCACTATTTAGTTCACTAAGTATTTAATGCTCTGCCACTAGTTGCTAAATTCTGAGCAAGGACAAAACAATAAAGACAAGTAGCAAAGATCTGGTCTCTCTCATGGAGCTGTTTGGGGAGAGGGAAAATTCTAGATAATTTGAGTAAGGGCCAAGTCCAAGCATGCATGCACAAGATGCCTTTGCCTCAGCTAGTGAAGGCTTCTCCCTTGTTTGCTAAGCAGCCACTACAGTACAACTCCTCTTGGAGTGAGAAGTGCTCAGTGCCTTGGTTTCCTTCCCATGCAGCCTGTTCGGGAATCTCCAGCAGGAGAAGGTCCAGGACGCAGACAGTGTGTGGCGGCAGCAGCGGGCACATCAGCAGCACAGCTGTACCTTGGACGAGTGTTTTCACTTGTACACCAAAGAGGAACAGGTTTCATGCTGGGGAGCCTGACCACACTGGGAAACCAGCAGGTGCTCTGCGGGGCTGGGAGAGCAGGGCCTCACTGTCTCGGTGACTTTATTTGCAGCTGGCCCAAGATGATGCATGGAAGTGCCCCCATTGCAAAGTCCTGCAGCAGGGTGTGATGAAGTTGAGTCTCTGGACCCTTCCTGACATCCTAATCATCCACCTGAAGCGATTCTGTCAAGTGAGAGAGAGAAGAAACAAGCTCTCCACACTGGTGAAATTTCCACTCTCTGGTCTCAACATGGCACCTCACATGGCCAAGAGAAGTGCTAGTGCCAAGTCTGTGCTAGGCCCTTTGCCTTCTTGGAAACAACCAGTATGCCTACCCACCAGTTGCCCGCTGGACTTCCTGTATGATTTATATGCTGTCTGTAACCACCATGGTAGTCTACAAAGTGGACATTACACAGGTGAGATTTATCTTTGTACTCACTGCTGCTGTTTTTCTGTTCCATGGCATTAACCTGTCCCTCCAAATGCCCTGGGAATTAGGTATTCGTCATAAAGTCACCGACACCAACTGTGTACCAGGTACCTACAGAGGTTAATGGAAACTTTTTAAGCCACGGAGCTGGTTGTTTGATGTATAAAATACCAAGTTAGTTATAGGCTGACTTTTGGACTCTATCAAATAGAAGAGATAATTATTGGAACCAAAGTGACATTTAATCTCATCCATGACTTAACATAGCACTGTTGCCAAATTTGATATGTTTTATTTCTATGGGGTACGTTTAATTTTTTTCCTTCACAAATACTTGAGAGAAATAGAAACAATAGCTGTAATTTATTCAGTTCTTCAAAATATACATTATTCAAGAGTAACAAAAATTTTTAATTCATCAAAATAGTTTGTTTTTTGAATAGTGCATTAAAGTGCCTGCAACTTGGAAAATACTGATCTGTATAGAAATTCAGAATTCTTTGAATCAATATCCATTTAAAAGATTTTTGTGTGGCTGGTACCTAGTGCTCAGAAATCACTGTTGGTAGTGCTCTGGGAACCATGCAGTTCCCAGGGTCAAACCCAGAGGTTCCTTTATCCCAAGCATAAACGAACTACTATGAGTACAAGCATACTCTCATTCTAAACTATTTGGCTCCCAAACATTATTTATTTTTCAATTTCGTGTTTGGCCATACCTGGCAATGCTCAAAGCTTACTACACTCAGAAATCACTCCTGGCAGAGATCAGGGATCATAAATGGTGCTGGGGTTAAACCCAGATTGGCTGCATACAAGGAAAGCACCTTACCCATTGCACTATCTCTCTGGTGTCATTATTAAGTACCCATTTCATGTATAAAATCCTATCCATGCTGGTGCAGTAATAAACAAGGCAGATATAGTACTTTAATAGAATTTCAAATAGTAAAAAGTACCTTCTACTTTAGTACTTTTACTGGCATTATGGAAAATTATTGGCACTGAAACTTCTGAGGTGACACAATTGGGTCAATAACTGATGAAGTAGAACTAGACAGGTGAGGAGAAGGTGTTAGTCTCAAGAGACTCTCTTTCATTTTTGGTGGGAATGCTGACTGGTCCAGCCTTTCTGGAAAACAACATAAGCATTCCTTAAAAAACTAGAAAGTGAACTTCCATATGACACAGCAATACCACTTCTGGGAATATATCCTGAGGGTGCAAAAGAGCATAGTTTCTACTATGCTAAGAGCATAAATGTCATTTCTATGACATCTGCACCTGTATGTTCATTGCAGCACTGTTCACAGTAGCCAGAATCGGCAAACAACCCGAGTGCCCAAGAACAGACGACTGACTAAAGAAACTTTGGTACATCTACCCAATGGAATACAATGCAGCTGTTAGGAAAAATGAAGTCATGAAATTTGCTTATAAGTGGATGGTCGTGGAGAGTATCATGCTAAGTGAAATGAGTTAGAAAGAGGGGGATAGACATAGAAGGGCTGCACTCATTTGTGGAATATAAAATATCATAATATGTCCCTAGCATTTTAATCTTTGTAACCTAGAGCCAAGGGTCTTTCTACCTTTGATACCTTCATTTTCCTTATATTGTTTTATGTATCACAGATAAGTGAAAACATCTGATAATCATCCTTCTATTGTCTTCACTTAACATGAAATAAAAAAGTTGCAGGAAATTACATTATTCCATCATTCTTTGTTACTGAATAGTATCCCATTGTACATATATACCACAACTTCATTATCCACTTGTTACTGGCCATTTGAGTTGATTTAATATCCTAGTAATTGTATTCAGTGCTGCAGTGAACCAAAGTATACATATGTTTTTTCAAATGAATGTTCTTCTGTCTTGGGGGTAGAACCAAGAAATAAAATCATTCGGTAAATGTGAGCTTTATTCTTACTTTTTTTGAGAAATAGAAGAAACTTTATTGTAGTGCTGAAAATATTATTTATGAATACTTCCTTAATTTTTTACTTCAATTCTTAAATATGAATGAATTACACTATAATACAATGTACATTTTTTTACATAATTAAAGTTACTTTATTTAATTGAATCGCTGTGAGAACAGTTACAAAGCTTTCAGGTTTAAATCTCAGTCATACAATGATCAAACACCCATCCCTTCACCAGTGCACATGTTCCACCACCAAGAACCCCAGTGTACCCCCCCATCCCATCCCTCTCCCTGCCTGTGTGGCAGATGATTTCCACTTTACTCTCTCTCTACTTTGAATACATTCAATTTTTCAAAAGAAGATCCACCATTATTATTTGGGATTTTTCCCCCCAACCATCAAAGCTGCCGAAAAGGCATCATTAGATAATTTGTTTTCTATTGCTGATAATGAAGAGCATATGATGTCACGAAGCCTGCCTTTTTAAGCTTTTCTGGAGAAATGAAGTGAACATTAATAGAACGTTTGAAAATAAATTGTGGCTTCCTTTCAATTGGATTCATCTTTTGTATCAAACTCTAATAGTAAGAATCTTGGAGTGTAAGTATTGGTCTTTCTGATTTGGCAAAATTTTCTCATTCTATTATAAATGTACATTTTTCAACAATGGTAATGAAAAATGGATTTTGGAGACTCTACTAATTGGGATTTGTGGTTTGAAACTTTGCAGCTTATTGTCGGAACTCTTTGGATGGCCAGTGGTACAATTATGATGACACCATAGTGGAAAAACTTAGAGAAGATGAAGTCAATACCCAGGGGGCCTACATCCTCTTCTATCAGAAACGGAACAGCATCCCTCCCTGGTCTGCCAGCAGTTCAATGAAAGGTGGGTGCTGTTACCCATTATGGGAGAGGGGGCTTGGAATATGGAGAACAGGAAGGTCTTGCAGAGGTCTGAGCACTATCTGCTAGTATCACATTTGTTAAGGATGTAAGATACTGAAATCTTGGATAGAGGAAAAGAATATATTTGTGGCACTTGATGGGATCAGATCCCATATTTCCTATTTTTATGTCAAGCCCAGAATTTTTAAGTATGTACAACATAAACTTGCATTCTTCCTTTAGAAAGATCAATTAGTTATAAAGGAAGCAAGGTGCTACTAGAAGGTGCAAGTACCCTCAGACTTGCTTGGACGTACAGGATTAAAATAACAAGGAACGAGGAGATAGTACAGTGGGTAGGGCACATGCCTTGCACACAACCTACCTTCAATCTCTGGCATCTCGTATGGTTTTCTGAGCCCACTAGGAGTGGGTTAAGTGTAGATTCAAGAATAACTGCAGCGACAGGAGTAGACCTAAATGTAATTCCTAAGCTTAAGTATAATACCTAAGTGCAGAGTCATGAGTAAAACCTAATGACCACCAGTTGTTCAAAAGAAACAACAAAAAAGTAGCTTAGGTTTACAATTTTATTTGAGCCATTTCACTTTGTGAACTAGCTAGCTTTGGTTTGGGATGAGAGAATTCTTTTTTTCTAATTTCTCAGATTTCCTTCTCTCACAATTATGGCAAATGACTATATAAAATCATGCCCCAGCAGGTCTAAATTGAATCTAATGCAAAGCCCTCCTTTCTCCTTTCTCTTACAACGGTGAGTGAAGAACATTCCATATTTAAAACCTGGAGTTGATAACAAGTGTTTTCATTAAATGAATTTTAACACTCATAAACTTAATTTCCTTTTGGGGTTTTATTTTTGTTTTTTGTTTTTCCTTTTTTCCAAATTGTATTTTATTAAAGTACCATGAGTTACGAAGTTACTTCTAGTTCAATTTTTGACATACAATGTTCCATCACCAGTATTGCCACTGTTGTCAGTGTTCCCTTCTACCAGTGTTCCCAGGTTCCCTCTCCTGCCCCACACCCATGCTGCCGTATCGACAAATCTTTTAAATTTGACTACTAAAGTTTGGGTCTTGTGATTTTTGTGCTGTTGACACTGTGGTTTGGATCTTCCTTAACACCACCATGTACCTGAATGCCTTTGACCCCTACCCCCGTTGCTTCTTATCTGTCTCTTGCCCCTTTTTTCTTTACCCTGTTTATTTTCCTCCCTTCTTCATACTCTGTGACCAAGAGTGATCTACTCCTATCTTTTAAACCATAGAATTTTCTCATCTAATTACTCTGAATACCATATAAAAGTGATGCCATCCCTAGCTTGTTCTTATTCTTCTGCCTCACTTCATTTAACATATCTTCCAGGTATCCACCATGTTGCAGCACATTGTTTGATTTTATCATTCCTTACAGCTGCGGAGTTTTCCCTTGTGTGTAATTACCGCATCTTCATGGCCCACTGATCTGTTGTTGGACATCTAGGTTGATTCCAAATCTTAGCTTTTGTACTAAGTGCTACTATGAATAATGATGAATAATGGTGTGCATATTTTTCTTTGAGTGAATATTTGGGGCTAGAGACCCAAAAATGGAATGGCTGGGTAATATGGTAGCTCGATTTTAAGTTTGCTGAGAACCTTTCATACTTGTCCCCATAGTGATTGAGTCAGACAATATTCTCACCAGCAGTGGATGCAGATTTTCTTGTCTAAAATTTTCAGCTTGGTTACTGATTTAATCAATCTCCCGCTCATGAGCTTGTCTTTGCAATTCTATTTTTTTCTTTAGCTTCAGGGGAAGCAATGGGAGTCTGGTCACAAAATGCTTCCCTGGAGCCCTGAAGCCCTGAGTCTGGGCACAGCTTCTGCTCTTTTTCTTACACAGGTTCCACCTGCTCCTCCTTCTCTGAGCACTGGCTACTGAGGCTTGGGGGCAATGACAACGGCACCAAGGAAAGCCTGCTACCATGGAGCTCACCCCCTGGGTCCCCCCAGCCCCCTGGACCTGAGTCGCCCCTCCTTACAAACCACCTCTCCAGTCATAAAATGGGTATGTTTCTTTCATACTGACAAATTTGACGATTTCTTTTAATTTTATGTAGCAACCAGCATTCATTTATCATCTTGGTGAGGTTAATGAGATAATCAGTCTATGAAGTTTATTCATCTCTAAAATTTGTCTTTCGTGACCTTGTGCTCTCCTTCCCTGCCCACTGCAGGAGTAGGCATGTTCTTCCTTAGCTCTCTAAAGCTTACCATCGAATGGGGAAGACAGAATGCCAATAATTAAATGACATGGCGTAAAGCGTATTTCATGGTAAAGAAGTCAGTCATCAGAGGAAGAAGGCATCAGCTGAGAACAGGGGCAAAGGATAAGAAGCACTCTTAAATCTTACATCTGGGGAGCTTTCTGAAGATGTGACTTTGGAGCAGAGACTTGAGTGAGAGTTTCATGTAGAAGTCTGGCAGTGGGTTAAGAAGGTGAAGTTTTTTTTTTTTTTATGTAAGAGTACTGCTATTCATTCAGCCACTGATGAACTGATTAAATTGGGCATGGACTCCACCTTACTTTTTTTTCATTTTTTATGGTTTTTTATGTATTGAATCACCATGAGAGCAGTTACAGAGCTTTCGGGTCTAAGTCTCGGTCATACAATGAAACACGCGTACCTTAACCAGTGCCCATTCTCCACCCCCAACAACCCCAGTATTCCCCCATCCCACACCCTCCCCCTACCTGTGGGGCAGATGATTTCCACATTACTCTCTCTCTATTTTGATCACATTCAATATTTTGATACTAGACCCACCATAATTATTTGAGATTTTAAGTGTGAAAGCATGGGAGCTATGTGAGGGCTAATGGAAGTCAGCGCTTGACTGGAGTATAACAGATGATAGGAAGAGAAAAATAATAGAAAGTGAACTGTAGTCAGGCCGTGATGTGCCTTTGACCTGTAGTATGAAGTTTACATTTCAGTCCAAGTGTGGTGAATATCTGTTAGGGAATTTTGAGCAGGCAGTTGTTAGATATGACTTCAGTACTCACAAATCTGAACTACTGTGAGTGATCCAGAGCAGAAACCAAATGGCGGCTTGTCTAGTTGTGGTTCTCCAGGGATAGCTGTGCTGCCTTGGACTGGTGCATTACATAGATAATCAGATTTAGAATATATTTCAAGACAGCACCAACAGGATTGCTTTGGGGTTTGAGGAAGAAAGAATAATTGAGGAGAACTCAGCTTAAGTGATTTAATAACCAAATAAGTGAAAAAGTAGTGCAGTTCATGAGGTGGGAAAGAATTGTGTGGGAAGCAATCAATTTTAAAGGAAAATCAAGAAATGTTGTGATTCGTGTCTTAAATTTCTTTCGTGGAATATAAAGATACAGAAGTAGCTGTATGTCAAGATACATGGCATAATGGAATACAAAGGTAGAATCATGGCTGAGCTCTCCTTGGGAAACTCCACATGAAGACAGAAAAGAGCAGGGCTAGAGGGACAGTACTCAGTCCCTCCCACTTGCATCACAAGTTGATACCACCAGGTGTGGCAAAAGAGCAAGAGACACAGATAAAAACAGAGTAAGACTAAGAGGCTTTAAGGTCAAACCCTGCAGCTCCTAATATCTGAAGGCAGAAAGGGAAACCAAGAAACTGAGAAGAAACTCATGATGCAGCTCACTAGTAGAGTACTTTGCCTTGCATGTGAAACCCTGAATCTATACCCAGTACTGCACTGGGGAAAAGAAATTAAGAAGGAGCTGTCAGGGAAATGCAAAGAGAGTCATGTGATTATGGGACATTTATGCAGAAAAGAAGTAACTGGCCACTGTGTCACATCCTATGGGGAGACTAGGAAGAAGGGCTTGAGGGTAGTTAGGTGAACTTTATGCTGCAAGCCCTTTATCCTTTAGCCCTGTGTTAAACTACCCAGTTGACTGAGAATTACTGGGAAGGGACCGAGACTCCCTTACTCAGCTTCCTGAGACTGATGGGATGAACCATGCCCCCCCCCTTTCTCACACACACATGCACTCTCTCTCATTCTCTCTCTCTCTGTCTCTCTCTCTCTCTCTCTCTCTCACACACACACACACACACACACACACAAAGGTCTCTATCATCATCATTATGAAACTCTGACAACCTCATAAATTATTCTCTGTTCCAAATGTGATACAGGAGGAATGTATTTTTTACCCTTTTAAGGAAGTGAAAGATACGGTGTTCACAGTCAGCCATAGTACCAGGAAGATCTCTAGAGAGACAGAGAGGGTCAGGACTGATAGGCAAGTCATAATGGATAATTAGGTATTCTTCATAATAAGTCTTCTAATTACAATAAAGTAAAATGTATTTTACTTACTAGATATCAGAGTCTCTCAGAGAGTTGACATTAGCAGTCCTTTCATGAAAGCAAAGTTGAGCTTTGGAAATCAACAATCTGAAATGTTTTCCTCTAAAATATCAGTACTACAAATAGATCCTGTTCTCTCTGGGCGCCAGAGTCCTGGCCATGCAGCTCTTGTATTTGAATTCTAAATTTTAATTTTAATTTATTAATAGTCCAAATCCAGTGAATAGGTTTTCAGTAGAGTTTGTGGCCACTTCCTCTTTTATGGGAATGAGGGAGATGTTTTTTTACTGTCACAATGAGTAGAGGAGACTATTGACATTTTGTACCCAGTAAGCAGGGAAGCTAAATGTCTTGAAATACCTGGGAATGGTCTTTTTCAGTACAAAATTGCCCATTACTGATGCCAGTTGTTATCCACAGAGAAACACAGATAGTTTCAAAGCATCATTTTCTAGTAGTTTTGGTCATGAGACTTTGTAATAATAATGAAGACATTTTAAATTTAAATGAATGGATTCAAGTTTTGTGGGAACTGCACTTTACATGATTAAGGTCAGGTGTTGGGAGAGACTTGATATGGAAAAGGATATAAAAATGCAGTATTTTTACAATTTTGACAACACTGCCATGTAAAACCATTGATTGTTTGTATCTTTCTCAAGGGCTACTTGAACCAAACAAAGGGCCCTAGAACTTAAGTTTTTCAATGTAGCTGTATCTGGTGATAAATATTTTCTATGAACTTTATTGGTCCCCAATAAAGCTAGCTATGTGTACCTAGGTCGAGAGGTCAACATGACAAATGACCTGGCACCTGAGCTGCGCAGGAGGAAGAGAGTGGCTTGGAACGCCTTCAAGAACGTCGAACAAATAGCTAACGTCGAAGAAATAACTAAGAGGACGAAGAACCTCCGGCTCCGGGCACATCTCTTTGATTCCACTGTTCTTCCTGCATTAACATATGCCTCAGAGACCTGGGCCCTACGCAAACAAGATGAGAACGCTATTCAGGTCTCCCAAAGAAGAATAGAAAGAGCTATGCTTGGAATATCACATTTCACTCAAATGAGAGAGAGAATCCGGAGTTCTGACATCCGTTGACGATCAAGAATCAGGGACGCTGTCTCATATGCAAAGGTGTTGAAAATCAGATGGGCTGGTCACGTAATGAGATTTAAAGACGACTGCTGGACTAGAACTGTTACCGACTGGATTCCACGGGATGTCAAAAGACTGCGTGGCCGCCCACCTTCCAGATGGTCAGACTTCTTCGTCAAGATCATGAACGATCGGTTTGAGGCCCTTCATGTTCCCAGAGCGAACAGATGCCATTGGGCTACACTAGCACGTGACAGGGACAAATGGAGACGTTACTGGCGCCCGCTCGAGCAAATCAACGACTAACGGGAAGTTAAGTGATTAAGTGATTAAGTTATTGGTCCCCAAAGTTTTTATTTTCCCCTATTTTCGTTCTTCCCAATTTTGATTTTCTCTTTGATTTAAAGGTTACCAGGCACTTACAAGTTTTTTTGGTTACTTTTTGATTCTTTATTTCTGATTTTGTGAATTGGATCCATTCATCACTTGATCACTTGACATACCATTACTCGTCGATTTGCTCGAGTGGGCGCCAGTAACGTCTCCATTCATCCCTGTCGCGTGTTAGTGTAGCCCAATGGCGTCTGCTCACTCTAGGAACATGAAGAGCCTCAAAATGATTGTTCAGGGTCTTGAAGAAGTCTGACCATCTCATAGGTGGGCGGCCATGCGATCTTTTGCCATCCTGTGGAATCCAATCGGTAACTGCTCTAGTTCAGCGGTCATCTCCAAATCGCATTATGTGTCCAGCCCATCTAATTTTCGATGCCTTGGCAAACAAGACAGCGTCCCTGATTCCCGATTGTCGATGGAGGTTGGAACTCCAGATTCTTTTTCTCACTTGAGTGAAGTGTAATACTCCAAGTGTAGCTCTTTCGATTCATCTTTGGAGACCCGAATAGCGTTCTCATCCTGTTTTCATAGGGCCCAGGTCTCTGAAGCGTATGTTAATGCAGGAAAAACAGTGGAATCGAAGAGATATGCTCAGAGCTGGAGGTTCTTCATCCTCTTAGCTATTTCTTTTACACTCTTGAAGGCATTCCAAGCCTCTCTCTTCTTCCTGCACAACTCAGGTGCCACGTCATTTGTCATGTTAACTTCTCGACCTAGGTATACATAACTGTTGCATTCTGAGATGTTTGTTCCGTTGAGAGCGAATGGAACGTCAGGAATGAGACCGTTTCCCGTGACCATTGTCTTTGTGAGATTCAGCTGTAGTCCAACCTTTTCACACTTATGGTTGAAGTTGGCCAGCATTTGTGCCACTTGGTTAATGTTTGGTGTTATTAGAAAGATGTCATCAGCGAGACAGAGGTGGCGCACTTGCCGACTGTCTCTCTTCACTCCCATTCCTTCCCATTCCAGTCGTTGCATAACGTTCTTGAGGGTGGCACTGAAGAGTTTCAGTGAAATGGTATCCCCCTGCCGAACCCCTCTCTTGACATGGATGATCACTTCCTTGTAGAATGGTGAGATCCTGGTAGTGAATCCATAATACAGCTCACGGAGGATCCTGATGTATTGATGAATGCCCAGTTTGTCTAGGGCTTCAGTGACCACTTCTGTCTCAACAGAATCAAAGGCCTTCTTTAAATTAATGAACATTAGACAGAGCGGCATCTTGAACTCCTGAGAAACCTCAATGAACTTGGTTACCATGTGGATATTGTCAATCGTGCTGAATCCTTTTCGGAACCTGGCTTGCTCACATGGTTGTCCTTCATCTAGTGTACTGCCATTCGTATTCAGGGTGACTCAAGTGAACAGCTTGCAGACAACAGACAACAGGCAGATCAGGCGATAGTTATCAATGTCGTGGATGTCTCCCTTCTTGTACAGTAGAACAGTCCTGCTAGTTTTCCATTGGGACGGAACCTTGCATTCAGACAGGTAGTGTGTGAAGAGCCAAGCCAGTGTATTGATGAGTACTGACAGCAAGTTCTTCAAGTACTCGGGTCTGACCTTGTCTGGACCAGGTGCTGTTCACTTTTTTACTGACAAAATGGCGTGTTGGATTTTGGAAGGGAGAACGTTGGGAATGACATATCCATCCTGCGGAATTTGGTATGTGGGCAAGTGCCCTGCCTGCTTCCACCAATCTCCGGCGACCCAGGGATCACACCTAGAAGCCAAGCCCCACCCTACAAGTACCTGATAAATACCTCATCAGCAGACCACCACTACCTCCGCTACCTCCACTACCCAGCTGCCGCCATACTCCAGGCCGCTTTCCAGATCCATGAATATGGTTTTAAAATTATTTTCTTTTTATAAGAACTTACATGTTTATTATTTTTTCTATACCCTCTGTATACTTAAAATAATGCATTTGTTCATTTGTGTCATATGAAATTCATTTCATTACTGTTTAATTAGGTAAACTCCGATTTATTTAATTCCCTGAAATCTTTACATTTATCTTTTTTTTTAGAACTGTCTGGTTAAAAAGGATATATACTGAATATTTCCTATATTGCTATGTCTTCAAATAAGCACTCCTAGAACTTTAAAATATTTTGCCTTAGATTGTTAGCTGCTTTGTTGTTGGTCTCTATATGTTTTTTGTTCTGTTCTTGGAGCTTATTCCTTGCTTTCTGCTCAAGGACCACTCCTGCTGGTGCTCAGGTGACTTACATAAGATGCCCATGATCAAACTGTGCTGTACCACATGCAAGGCAAATGCCTTAGCCACTGTTCTGTCTCTTCTACCCCAAGCAAGTTCGAGTTAATTTTTGTTTTGAGACCACATCCAGTGTTGATCAGAGCATCATATCATATGTACTAACCCTTTTAGCTATCTCTCTGATGCAGTGAATTAGTTTTAAGTGCTTTCTTATAATTAGTATGTTGCCAGATTTTTTTAGTTTGTTTGTTTTAAAAAGCATTTCAAAATATTCAGAGCCTATTTTGAATACTGTTGCTCATGGTGTTTCTTTCAGAAGGATTGGAATCCAGACTCCGGGAGAAACGCACAGGAGGCCGAAGTATGAGCATGAAGGCGCTCACCTCTTCCCAAGGCAAGCAGAAGACCTTTAAGACCTTGCCCTCCAGGTGGTCTTTTGGACCCAAGGAGAAGCTACCTGGTGCATCTGTTGAGTTGGTGGAATATTTGGAGACCAGGGGGAGACCTCAATGTACGAGCCAGTCCATTGTCTCATTGTTGGCTGGCACTGCAGGTGAGAATGAGAAATCAACAGTGCCCAGGTCAAACACCTCTGCCTTTGCCAAGGATGAAGATGGTGAACTAATCAACCAATGTTTGCTGGCCACAGCTCCCCACCTCCTGGGCCATCCTAGCCACTGTGCCAGAGACACAGGTCATCTACACACAGCAAGGAAACACAAGGAAAACTCAAGGCCGGATATCAGACTTCCAAAACAGTTTGACCTGCCCCTCATGGTGATGCCCTCTGTAGAGCATGAGAAGCATTCGTGTCTAGAAGACCAGAAGACTAGAAGCTGTCAGGGAAGCCACAGCACAGCATCCTCTGCCAAGGGAGACCTGCCGTCTGTGGAATTACCTAGAAAAGGTGCATGCAATCACCGAAATCCCTTCACCAAGATGAGGACTAAAACAGAAGGAAAGGTTTGGGAGACAGACAGATTCCCCCAGGGGACGTTCACCTTTCTAAAGTCTGTTTTTTGGAAGAAGGAAAACAAGAAGAATGACCAGGTAGAAGTAGCTCCCCAGGTACCTCCAGCCTCTCTCATAAGTGGGAGACTGACTCTGGCTGACAGTTCATCCGCTTCACTCAGTCCAGCCAGGGGACATGGCACACACCTAGAGAGGGATATCCATTCAGCTCCCGCCTCTCTCCGCCTTGCACGCAAAGTTAGCAGGCCAATAAGGGGCAATGCTCTTGGTGCGTCACAAAGGAGTGTTTCAGGGGAGCAGACCTCTTCCAGCACCTTGCAAAAGGTGAAATATCGCACTCTTTTTTTAGGTCAAAAGAAAATATTACCAGAGTCCAGCTTTTAATAAGTTCCAGTCTGTGTGAAGCTGGAGTTCTTGAAACTCTACACTAACCAGCTCGAAAAAAACTTGTCTTTAGAGTGTGTTTTGGGAAAGCCCATTGTCATATGAAGTCTGAAAATAAATTTGTGTTCAAGTTTTGCATCTGGGCTTCCAAACCCTGTCTTCCTTTATTATTTTGCTCTTTGATTCTAGACCACAAGGGGGAGCTATTGGATCAGTGTTATCATTTCAGTATCAAATGTTTTCATTTGCTTCTCTGAAAAACATTGTAATGCGTTTACTTTTAATTTTTCTCTAGAATAAATAATTCTGGGATTCAAAAAATGATGATAAAAATCTGATGAGAATCTCAAGAGAGAAACAGGAAAGAAGTTAATGAAATTTTATAATATTTAATATATGATAAAACATTTTATATTTTTTTTAGGTTACCTTTAAGAGTTAGTTTTTCAGGTTACCTTTAAGAGTTAAGTTTTGATACTGAGAATAAAGGACGTTTCTTCCTTTTGAAGTAGAAGAGATCTATCTATAATTTTTTATTTAATTTTTATTGAATCACTGTGAGATACAGTTACAATGCTGTTCATGATGAGATTTCCATCATGCAGTTTTCCACACCTGTTTCTCTCCACCAGTGACCCCAGTTTCCCTGCATGTTTCTTCTTCTTTCCCTCTTTCTCCTTCTCCTTATCTTCTTCTTCCCCCCTCTTCCTCCTCCTCCTCCTCCTCCTCCTCCTCCTCCTCCCCCCCCCTCTTCCTCCTCCTCCTCCCTTCCTTCTCTTCCTTCTCCTCCTCCTCCTCCTAGTGGGCATTATGATTTGCAATACAGATACTGAGGGGTTATCATTTTTGTTCCCTATCTACTTTCAGCATGCAGTTCTCATCCAGAGTGATCATTTCCAATAATTTCTCTCTTTGTCATAGTGGTCCCTTCTCTGTCCCAACTGCCTTTTCCTCAAGCACTTGAAGCAGGCTTCCAACCATGAACCGGTTCTCCTGGCCCTTGTTTTTACTGTCATTGGGTATTAGTTTCATACTATTTTTTTAATATGTCCCACAAATGAATGCAATCATTCTATGCCTGTCCCTCCTCTCCTGACTCATTTCACTTAGCATGATAGTCTCCATCTTTATCCATTTATAAGCATATTTCATGACTTCATCCCCCCCCAACAGCTGTGTAACATTCCATTTTGTTGATTATACCATAGTTTCTTTTTTTTTCCCCTTTATTTTATTTTATTTTTTTTTACAGTTGTAGATTTACAATTTTTTGTGCTTTGGTTTCAATTATACAATGATCAGATACCCATCCCTCCACCAGTGCCCATTTTCCACCACCATGGATAATATCCCCCCACCCACATCCCCCCATCCCCCCCTGCCTCTGTGGCAGGGCAATCCCCTGTGATACCATAGTTTCTTTAACCAGTCATCTGTTCTGGGGCACTCGAGTTCTTTCCAGATTCTGGCTATTGTGAACAGTGCTGCAATAAACACAGAAATGCAGCTGGCATTACTGCTGTGTTTTTTGTGCCCAGCAGGACTTTTTTCAAGAAGTGGTATTGCTGTGTCCTATGAAAGCTCAATTTCTAACTTTATGAGGAATGTCTGTATTGTTATCCAAAAAGACTGGACCAGTTGGCATGCCCATTAACAGTAAGAAGAATCCCTTTCTTTCCGAATCCACACCAACACTCTTTGCTCTTATTCTTTTTGTTGTGAGTTAGTCTCTGTGGTGTGAAATGATATCTCATTGTTTTGATTTGCATCTCCCTGATGATTTTTGATGTAGATCATATTTTCATGTGCCACTTGGCCATTTGCATTTCATTTTTCTAATTTTTAAATTTTATTTTTGTAAGGTTGTTTACATTAATTGAGTTCATTCAGTATTTCAACACCCACCTCACTACCATTACACCTTCCCACCACCATTATTTCAAATTTTCCCACCACCTTTCAAGCCTGCCTGCTACAAGCAGATTCTAGACATTTTATTTTCTGTTGCTTATTATGAATACCATGAGTGGTTGCGTGGCCTCGCGCTCCTGGAATTCTAAATTTGTAAATGATTGGGGTTCAGAGATATCTCTGTAGGGAGCTAATCCATTTTGAGCTTCATTGGTGAGTCTCTGGATCAAGGCCAGTGATGCACTTAAATATGGCCTGGAGACAGCTCGTGAGTGTGACAGCAGAACTCCGAGGGGTCACGCAGGAGATGGAAAAGGAGGAATTGACTCCCCGACCATGTGGCCTGGCATCTTCAGACCCTGTTCTTGCGTATCTGGGTTTTTCTTCTGAAAGTTTGTGGCCACTGGAGTTCATCTGGACAGAGAGAGGACATTCACTCCATTTGAGTGACCCGGTGAAATCAGCTCAGCACTGGGTCCGGAGATATCTCCAGCAAGTTGCTGTCTTCCAGGAGTCTGTTGCAATTCTTTTTTGAGGAAATTTCTGTTCATTTTTTCTCCCCATTATATATATATTTGCTTTTTGGGTCACACCCGGCAATGCACAGGGGTTACTCCTGGATCTGCACTCAGTAGTCACTCCTGGAGGTACTCAGGGGACCATATGGGATGCTGGGAATCAAACCCAGGTCGGCCGTGTGCAAGGCAAACACCCTACCCACTGTGCTATCTCTCCAGCCACTTCTCCCCATTTTTTGATGAGGTTAGATTTTTTTTTCTTGTAAAGTTCTACCAGGGTCTTGGATTTTGGATAAATAATTATTTTCAATCTGTGGGCTGTCTTTGTATCTTGGTCACTGTTTCTTCTAAGGTGCAGAAACTTCTCAATTTAATGTAGTCCCGTTTGTTTACCTTTCTTCTCCTTGCTTGGTCAGTGGACTTTTATCTTTGAAGATGCTTTTTTTTCTTTTTTGGTCACTCCCGGCGATGCACAGGGGTTAAATCTGGCTTTGCACTCAGGAATCACTCCTGGTGGTACTCAGGGAACCATATGAGATGCTGGGAATCGAACCCGGGTCAGCCATGTGCAAGGCAAATGCCTTACCCACTCTACTATCACTCCAGCCCCTTGAAGATGCTTTTAGCTTCAATGTCATGGAGAGTTCTGCTTACATTTCCCTCCATGTACCTTATGGATTTAGGTCTGATATTGAGGTCTTTTTATGGTTTTTATATGGTTTTTATCTTTTATTGATATATTGTTATATTGATTCACTTGCAAATGTTAAACTTTTTTTGCATCCCTGAGACAAATACTACTTGGTTATGGTTTATGATCTTTTTTGAAGAGTTGTTAAATTCTATTTGTATTTTGTTGAGGATCTTTGTATTTGTGATCATCAGGAATATTGGTCTGTAGCTTTCTCTCTTTCTTTCTCCCTTTCTTTTCTTTCCTCCCCCTCCCTCCCTCCTTCCTTCCTTTTTTCTTTCTTGTGGTGTTTGTCTGCTTTGGGTATCAGGGTGATATTTGTCCCATAGAAACTGTTTGGAAGTATTTCTTTTCTTTTTTTTTTTTTTGATTTATTTCCTGGAAAAGCTTGAAAAGTATTGGCAGTACCCAAAAAGCAAAATAAATAAATAAATATTGGATCAAAGAGAAAATCAAGGAAGAAATAAAACTGTTTCTTGAAACTAATGAGAATAAAGACGCAATTTATCAGAATTTATGTGATACAGCAAAAGCTATTCTAAGCGGCAAATTCATAGCAATGGAGACCTGCATTAAGAAAGAAGGAAAAGCCCAAATCAACAACCAAAATACACAGTTCAAACCTCTGGAGAAGGACAACAAATTCAAAAAAATAGCAGAAGAAGGGAAATAATAAAGACTAGGGTAGAAATAAACAGCATAGAAACCAAGAAAGCAATTTAAAGAATCAATGAATACAGATGCTGGTTCTTTGAAAAATAGCACTGTAGCACTGCCCTCCCGTTGCCCATTGATTTACTCGAGCTGGCCCAGTAACGTCTCCATCGTGAGACTTGTTACCGTGTTTGGCATATTGAATGCGTCAGGGGGAGCTTGTCAGACTTTGCCATGCGGGGGAGATACTCTGGGTTGCTTGCCTGGCAGAGGAATCGAACCTGGGTCAGCCAAGCCGGCAGTGCGCAAAGCAAACGCTCTACCGCTGTGCTCTTGCTCCAGCCCCCAAACAAAAACCATAAATGAAAAAAAGCAGAGAACCCTCCCTAATCAGTCCCAGTAGCCGGGGCTGCAGGCCACAGCCCAGTTATGTCCGTGCTGGCTACAGTCTCCAACAGAAGCTTCCCAAGTGCCCACAGGAGGTGACGGGACTCATCCCCCCTCTCCGCCCCAGGAGCCTCCTCGCCCATCTGTCAGAGGTGCAAACTGAGGCAGGCTCGGCCGGCCGAGGGGGCCAGGCTTGGCGCTCACAGACCCTGGCCTCTCCGTGGGGGTGGTGGGCAGGGGGACTTCTCTCCGCATTCCCCGCCGCAGTGGCTGTGCCAGGGGGCGGCGGGTAGGAAAGCCAAGGGGGCCCGGACAGACTGACAAGCCAAGGAGGGTGTCAGGGAGGCGCAGAGCGCTGGTCAGCCAGCAGGGACCGGGACGGGGACCTGGAAGGGGACCCGCAGGTTGCGCCCCCGCCCCAGGCCGGGCACGCAGGCACAGGGTGCGCATTCCCCCGCTGCCCTTGGCGCCAGCCGCGCGCTCACTGGCCCACGAAGTTCTCCAGCACCGAGCTCTTGCCGGCGCTCTGGCCGCCCACCACGCGATCTGCCGCAGTGTTAGGACAGGAATACGGCCCCTGAGCTAGGAAACAGACGGATGTCACGGGTCCGACGGATGTCACGGGTCCGGGCTCAGCCCTCGGACCGGGGTATCGCATGAAGCCCCAAGCGGGCACTTTCGTAAATTGTGACCTTCAAATGTGCTGTAATGCAGACTTGGGCCTACAGAAGTAACCCCTGTATCTTAGGTCGGGGTCTGGCCTCTCACACGGGACCTGGGCATGTGTGCGTGTGCACGACCCTGGCTAGCCAGCTCAATAAACTGCCTCCTTGCTGATTGCATTCC